GTTGAGTAACTAGCAGGAGATGAGACGAGTTTAGGGAAGATATCTGTGCTAAAGATATATTTTTGGGATCAGCTGTTATTTATTTAAATTTAAGAAGCAGGATGAGGTAACCAGTGGAAAAAGATGATAATGTAATGAGCCAAGGGGCTTGCCAACTAAGAGAGGAAAAGAGGAGGAAGTAGCAAAGAAGACACAGAAGGAACATCCAGGGAGGGAAGAGAAAAACCAAGAGTGTGTAGTGCAATGGAGGTCAAGTGAAGAAGTAGGTCAGGTATTATTAGGCTCCATGAGATGAGGATAGAGCACTGAGCACTGGGTTTGGCTACATGAAAGTCACTGGAGACCATAAAAGCATAGTTTTGGTGGAGTTGTGAGAGTGCGAGCCTGACAGGAGTACGTTCAAAACGAAGGAAGAACTGGAAAGAGCCAAAATAGATGAGTTTGCTGTTATTGTTTGGCTGCAAAGGGAAGCAAAGGGATGAGTTTGTAGCTGAAAACTGGAGACGGGGAGTGGAGGAATCAAAAGGTTTTTTGAGACTGGAGAAATAAGCTTGTATGAAGATGAGAATGATCCACAAGAAGAGGAAAAATGATATAAGACAAAGAGAAAAAAATTGCCACAATGTTTTTGAGTAAGCGTGACCAGATCTAGTTCAACAGATGGGGCTGGTTACAAAAAAGTTTATTTAGTAACTGGGAGGAAGAGTATGGGTAGAAATTGGTGGATGGGGAAATGGGTGGGGAAAAGTCTGACAGTTTACTTTTGATGCTCAGTTTTCTCACTGTAAAATGTAAGGTCATTAGTTGAAGATAAAGGAGCAGATGTATTGGAAGTGAGGATAAAGGAGAGAAAGTAATAGTGGTCTTGATAAGTGGGAGAATGAATGAAATTAGGGAAACACAGTATATTAGGTAGCATTAAAGGGTTCACTGTCACCCATTTAAAGTAAAATTCGTCATCAAGTGAATGTTTTTTTCCTACACATTTAGTTACTAGGCTACAGGTGGGAGTGAAATAAAAGAAAGAGTAAAGAACAGTGAAGGGTGGTAGAAGTGAATCCTAAATTTTTTGGTATGCAGGGTTGTCAGGATTGTTGGAGGTAGAATTCTAGAGGGAGTAAAGCTGAAAAGATAATCACAGAATGAAATGTATAAAATTAAGATTATGGGATGGGCATATTAAAAGCTTCAGGTATAGGCAAAAAAGCCCAATGGAAAATATCTAACAGGAATATTGTAAAACTACACCCTACATAGGTAATGCAAGTTTATAAGGAAAAAGATAGGGGGAGAAACAATAAGTAATAAAGTGCAAGGGTGAAAGAAATATATCAAAAATGCAGATCAACAGTATCCACTAGGATACCAACAGCCATGAGTATAACCTAGTTGTTAATTTCCTAAGAGAGCAAGCAATTAACTGCAAGAGAAGTCCTCAGTTTGACCAGCTAAACTGCTCCAAAGCAGGGACTCTTCCACATAATAAATGCTGAGTAAATATATGTTCACTGAACAAGGATAAGAGAATCTGATAAATATAATGGGCAGTATTTTCAGCAGCAGTTTTTACAAACCTATTAACCAAAATTTTCAAATTAGAAAGGTTGATCAGAGAAGCACTATTATACAAGCAATAAATTACCTATATAGAACATTCAACTTGGACCAGACAAGACCAACTCCAAGATGTTCTTAAATCAGAAATGGTGGAGCCAGAATATACTGTGTCTCAAAAGGCAAAAGAATAAAAAAAGAAAAAGGTATTTTCCCAGACATAAATAATAAGTGAAAAAAGTGAACCAAACCCTATCAGATACCAATCTGATAATTTTTCAAACAGAAATACTGGCGTAGGAGAGACGTACCTCCTGTGTAATCTAGAATTTTATCTCTACACCGCCCCCATACAAAATTGTTTATAAAGTATCAGTGCATGCAGCAGAATCAATTTACATCTAATTAACTTACGATTAAGAATTATTTATTAGTTTGAGTTTTAATATTATGGAAAAATATGCAGTGACATTTGAAAGCAGTTCCTTTTGACTTACTTTAAATCTGAGGCTCTTGGAACATCAAGGTTAAGAAATGTTGGAAAGAAATCAAGAAAATGACACCTGTGTTGCTGATAACAGTAGGAAAATATTTTGGAAGTATATCAAATTTAAAATATATTGACCCAAGTGAAGAAACTTTATAAAAATAAAAGCACCAAAATATAAGGAAATATGTATAAGGATTTTATAGTAACATTACCTGTAGTGACAAAAAACTGGCAACAAACTTACTATGGCATATATTCTACAGTTATTTAAATCACTAACAACTGACAATATCCATCAATTACTGAGAGAGGAAAAAGGAAGTATTAGAGCAATGCGTTCACATGACCCTTTTTCATAAAAAGTATCAACATCTCCATATGTGTGAATATTCATTCGCTCAAGAAATATTTATTGAGTGCCTATGACATGCCACGCACCATTCTGTGATGCATACATTGTAGTGGTAGAGAGAGTCCAATAAGATAACTAAATAAAATACATTTCAAACGTTACAGAGTGAAAATAAAGAAGGGAAGAAAAGTAGCAAGAGTGTTTGTGGAAGGGAGACTAAAATAAGAGGCAAATGAAGGGACATTCAAGGCAGAAGTCACAGGAAGAGCAGAAGAGGATGGTCTGTATGGATGGAGCAAAGTGACCAAAAGTAATAAAAAAATAAGATCAGAGGTGTAAGAAATATTATAGGTGGGCATATCACATACAGTCTTAAAAGACTTTGTAAGTAATTGCAGAGGTGCAGACTTTGTTACCATGCCAGGTTTTTAGCTTTAGTTATCTTACAATAGTGACATGTTTTTCTTTATGTATATTTCAGTTTAAATTGAACACATTATTGTAATAAAGAAAAAAAAACTGAAGTTGACTGAGAACAGGTATCTTTAAAAAGATATCTCCTATAAATGGTCTCCTGTCTCTATAATCTACAGGTATGCACTAAGTCCCTAGATGTATTTAATGTAATGTGTAAGTACCAAAGGCATGAAGAAATTAAAGATTTTATTTAAAAACAGATTTTTATGTCTCAGTTGTAGAAAGGATGCTTTCTAGATTTGATAAAAATGCAAAAAGAAACAGTAAGTATCATAATATAACTTAGAAACAGAAGAATTCTAGTGCAAAAATAGGAGAGTAATGGAAAAACAGGATATTATAATACTTTGGGAAGAAAGAACTAAAAAGAACTAAGAGGTATGTTATGGTCAGTTAAGGAATGAGTGGGACCCTGGGAATGTGGAAGGAAAAAACTGGGTTCGAATCCTACCCTAGCTTAATCAAGTTATTTAACTTCCATAGATTTAATTTCTCCGTCTGTAAGAGGAAGGGAGTAATACTTTTTTTTAGTGAGAAGACCAAAATAATACATTTTATCATACAAATTGGCCCTATTATTTTGCTCGGTATTTAAGAGGCATTAAATATTAGATAAAACTGAATATGAAAACAGGTCAAGTAATAGTTATAATAACTATCTACCTCTCAATGTGCTCATGTTGTTTTAAAATTTCAAAATGGATGGGGCGCCTGGGTGGCTCAGTCGGTTAAGCGTCCGACTTCGGCTCAGGTCATGATCTCGCAGTTCATGAGTTCAAGCCCCAGTGGGCTCTGGGTGTGATTCTGTGTCTCCCTCTCTCTGGCCCTCCCCTGCTCACACTCTGTGTCTCTTTCTCTCTCTCAAAAATAAATAAACATTAAAAAAAATTAAAATTTCAAAATGACCAAAAAAGTGAATTTGTTTGATCAGAAATTAAACCAGAGTTTAAAAAATGAAGAACCTCCAGTATTAAGTATATTTTCTGAAAAATAATAGTGTATTTTCACATTTAAATTAGAACAAAATGGGGGTGCCTGGGTGGCTCAGTCAGTTAAGCATCTGGCTCTTGGTTTTAGCTCAGGTCATGGCCTCACAGTTTGTGAGACTGAGCCCTGAGTCCAGCTCTGTGGTAACAGCACAGAGCCTGCTTAGGATTCTCTCTCTCTCTCCCGCTCTCTCTCTGCCTCTCCCTGCTCGTGCATGCACAGTCTCTCTCTCTCTCAAAATAAATAAACTTAAAAAAAAATAAATAAATTAGAATAAAATGTTGAGAATAATTCATATTTTGTTTATGTAAGTTGAAATACACAATTTAACAAAGTCAGCAAGTATAATAAAAAAGGAGCTGACTCAAATCAAAAAGATTAAAATTATCACTCTATATCCTTTATAAATTTAAACAGTAATATTAAATCTGAAGCATTTTTAACCTTTTTAAAAAAGATGAAATATGGCAGAATATGTATTCCATAATATTCAATGTCAACCAACTCTTTTCTTGCTGTGATTACTATTTGCATTACATTCCAGAATGCAGAGTTATTGACAGGAAGGGGGAGAAAGAAGGAACTATGGGATTGTCAAAACCAAATGTTGTTTGGAGTATTTTACTGCCCGTGAGAATAGGTGGGAATGATGTTGTTCTGCCTGCAAGAGAAAAGTACAAAAGAAATCATCCATTTAAAAAATGAACTCATTAAACATTCTACCAAGTGGCTGTAACTCACTGGTTGGTTATGTGTTGGTAATGCATTTGGTACTCTGATAAATCTGCTGGCAACAAATTACAAGGTGTAGGATCAGTGAAAGATCAATTTGGATGGGGATTAAGAGATCATTCATTCGTTAAGACTCAACTTGATTATTAGAGGCTAGGTTTTCTGACTTCCAGATGAATTCAATTCCTATAATAAAATTTAGTTAATTTGATTACAAAGAAAATTCTTTTAATGATATTGAAGATAGTCATAATTCAATTTGAACCAAACTTGAGGGAAAAACATGTACATAATTTAAACCAAAAACAAAAGACAAAATGAAAGAAAAATAAAAGATAACAGATTACAAATTAGGGAGAAGGAAAAGGAAAAAAGTTGGTATTTTTCACATGTAAAGGTTATCATTACCTTTTCCAAGTCTAACTCTTCTAATAAAATGCTGGCATTTTTGTTTGCTTCAGCAGCCTGTCTATCTTTGGCTTGTACTATTGATTCCATACAAAGATGACACTTCTTCAGCATCTCCTAAAATAAAAAATTAAGATGTTTGCAGCCTCAAAACACAACTCACATTTAGAGAGACTCCTGAAAACACAAAGATATTTAATTAAGGTACCTGAATGAACATAAGCAATAAACATCAGTGGTAGGGCAAAAAAGGGTAAAAACAAAACCATAATCTAAATGGTATATGTTTTTTAAGTTACACAAGCAAAGAGCCTCTACTGTCCTTCAAAATAACATCCATGTGACTGGTATTTTGGAAACTAAAATTACTCATTCCTAAAATTTCAATGTAAGAAATCATATAGCAAACACAGCTTCAATAATTTATGCCAGCTGGTTAATGGGCTGAAGGGAAAGGTCAACGTCAACAAAGAAAATGGGTTTAAAAAATTAAAGAACTTAATTGACGGGAACTGTTTCAAATATTTAAGCTTTGTTGCTACAACTTCCTGTGCAAGAATCACACTTAAAGAAATCATAGACATGGGTACTTACATACTTTTCTCAGTGATTTCATTCTTGGGACATACTATTTAACAGGAAAGGGCTATTTCCCTATTCAACGAAAGCCTTATTTTTAATCTCCCCACCCCTCCAAAAAAATCCCACAAAAAACAAGAAACAGTGGTATCCAGGAATGTTAATTATCATAGAGAAATGTACAGGCAGGCGAGACCATGAATTAGCTATGTTAAATAAAACTCATGAAAAAAAAGTGATCACTATTATGTAATGACTGCTGAGAGAGACATTTTTAGATTTATTGACCTCTTTGCATTTTCAGACACATGTCTTAGGATTTTAGTCAAATGTTAGTATAAACCCCAAATTAAAACATCACCAGGGGAACATCTCAATTAGATCTCTAACAGGATTTATTTCACTTTCTCTACTTTTTCGGCAAAAATCCTAGCCAATTCATTCTTAAGCTGATAATTACTCCAACTTTTATATTATATCGAAAACATAAAGTTTCCTTGCCCATGACTATAAAAAGTACTATGCTCAGTTTTAGTTAGGTCTTAGAGAATGTTTTATTGCTTCATTAGGTAACTGAATAATCTGAAGCACCTTTTAAATACAATACTGCATTCCCAAATACTAGATAAATGAAAACTATTACATACCACACATTATTGCTTAGACTAAGACTTTTTTCTTAGTGTGAGATACACACACACACACACACACACACACACTTACAAAAAAACAAAATGAGATCCCTAGCTCATATACTGGGATGAACTTAATCACTCTTATTACCTTATCAGTGATGGTTGCTATGTATCTCATACATTCAGAATCTGATGGAAACTGATTGACTTCTTTGACTAAGTAGCGCACCACCTTCACATGACCCTAAAAAACAGATACCAATATCAGATTGAAAACAGACTCTTAACAGGATTCAGTAAATCTATAGTCTTGTCTTAATTAAGAGTACTTTGACATCAGTGCCACAAAATAAAGTCTTAGATATCATTTGCACTGTAAATGAAAAAGAGACAAACTTTGGTTCTGATAAGTTAAATCTACACTGTTCATTCTCATCCCACCCCTCCGAAAGAGTACAGAATAACCTGATCTAAAATTCTAAACAACACTGAATGAAAAGCCAACAAGCCAAAAATTAGTATGAAGAAATGGGGATATGTCTGAAAGAAAAAAAAAAAAATTCATTTGTTTCTAGCTAATTCACAAGTGAGCATCCTATTTCAATTCTAAGCCCTGAAAGAATAGAAATAACAATTTTGTTCTTTCAGGTAAAAACTAAAAGCATAACACTATACTAGTAGTACAAAAGGAATAAGATACACTTTCCTAAAGCATGAGCTACGATTATATTATTCACTTAACCCAGTTCACTAAGTAAAGCTCAAAACTTTTAGACCAGGACTCAAGAGACTCTTTCTCCAATCTATACTATTGCTCTCTGAACACAATTCCTATGAATTAGCTAGTTTTGATAAACAGACTGTTTATATTTAGTATATTTCCCTATCTCTTCCTTTTCATCTACATCTTTTTAAACTATCCCTATTCCTATCTTTTAATGAATAGTTCAATGCCATTTACATCATTTCTTGATAACTTGCCAACACTTCTATGGTATTTAAATTATATGGGACACCTCACAGTTACCTGACTTTGTATGTGGATCTTACTTCCTCTTATTAAATCATGTATTTCTTTAAAAACAAAAAAAAAAAGTGCAACTGCTGTACTCTGTACAATGTAATAGGCCAACCATTACAGTAACACATGGTAGATACTAAAAAATAAATAAAGGGGCGCCTGGGTGGCACAGTCGGTTAAGTGTCCGACTTCAGCCAGGTCACGATCTCGCGGTCCGTGAGTTCGAGCCCCGCGTCGGGCTCTGGGCTGATGGCTCAGAGCCTGGAGCCTGTTTCCGATTCTGTGTCTCCCTCTCTCTCTGCCCCTCCCCCGTTCATGCTCTGTCTCTCTCTGTCCCAAAAAAATAAATAAAAACGTTGAAAAAAAAAAAATTAGAAAAATAAATAAATAATGGGATGAATACAAAAGAATATAAAAGATAAACACTGTTCTTAAGGAATTAAGTCTATTTGGAAAGAGAAGACATATGCGTGATACAGTAGTAACAAGATAATTTTTGTCAAAATGAATGATAAAAATAACAGATTGTAGAACTTCTACAATGTTTAGAGGATTAAATGTCCTGCTGTGAGCTCAAATAGGATTGGAAGTGTTTTTGTAGAATGGGAGATTTAAACGATACACAAAGAATGAATAAGTCTGGAAAAATAATGAAGAATATGGGTATTTCTGAGATGAGAACAATGGTGACGTAAGAGACGGTAACAAACAAAAGACCAAGCAAGGAGAAGACTCCACATCAGAAATTCAAAATAGGCGATGAGCTCTAAGGGCACCAGATTATGTTGGCTTTGACTAACAAACTAAGATTGGGTTTCAAAGGATGACAGAGACTGAAGGGAGGAAAAAGTTCTGGAAGAGGATACTAACATAGTGGAGTGGTTAGGAAGATGAATGATATGTTACCTTGCTTGGAGAAGAGGTAGTGAGAAAGAGAAAGAGAAAAAAAGAGGAAATAACAAGAGATTCAGTGTCTAGGTAGTCTAGAATACCTAGGGACAAGGTGGTACAAAGCACAGACAGAGAGAATAATAAGAAAAAAAAGAAGAAATATGATTTCTTGCAATTTATATATTAAAATCTTCAATACAACAAAATAATTTGGAACCTACCAAGGGATTTTACCTACCTGTCTCAAAATGACAAAACTTGAATTTTAAACACTGAACAGTAATCCAGTTTTCCTGGTAACAAATTAAAGCTGAATTTAAGAGACCAACCAAACTATTAAATCACTCTGTGCTATGCATTATAGGAAGAGAAACAAAGTTTCTCTTTTCACAAAATTTATTTCTACTTCTGAATGTAGTTCATTTGATTTTCAGGCATTTCAAAATATTGGTGGCTGGGTTTTCATTATATAATTCTCTTGCTCCTAGTAATTAAAGCAAATGATTAAAAATAAAACCAATTTAAGTTAATTTTTTCCCTGCTGTGCTAATACAAGAAAACATTCATCCATAAGTAATTAGTTACTTTTAATTGGATTTACATTTTGTGTGAAAGATTAAGATTGCAACTAGATTTTGGAAATACTACTTAGAACTACTTTTTAAAAGTTTACTTAGCTTAACTTATCAATATGGGTAATATTAATGGTTTTTCTGGGATACCTGTGTCTACCTTTCAGTGTTGCCATAAGTGATTATTTGCTTATTATTTTACTGCTTTCATCACTACCGCTAAATCCTAAAATGAGAGTCTTTAGTAATCACTAAACTATACATATCCAGAAAAGTTGAAAAACATCCAAGTGAATGAGAATGAAAGACTTCTACCTTCCTAAATGCTGCCATCAGAGGAGTTATCTTGCGGTTGTCTGCTGCATCCACATCTGCACCTGCTTGTACTAGTAACTGAACCACATCAAGGTGTCCGCCATTTGCTGCTAGCCACAATGGAGTGTTCCCCTTCTTATTACGTACATCAATGTGAGCTCCCCTAAACGAATGACACAGGTATTGTTTAAAATAAATGGAATGACACAGATAACGATAAAAATCAACTATTAACATATGAAAAATATTCTGTAAAAGTGAAATATTAGATATAATATTCAAGGACTTAAATACATTTTTCTCTCAAAATTACAAGGAATTTCTAACCATCAAATTTAAAAGTCTTCAAATTAAAGAACAACTGTATACTAATAATTGCTTTTCTTATTTTAATGACTGCATAATTCTGGGTTTCAATCCTGAGAAAATGTGAAGTTTTATTTAGTGAAAAATATAAGTACATCCTGTTAATAGCATAATCAATACATTAAACAAACAGTATGCAAGAGACATAAACAGTATCTTACAAGGCACTTGTATCTATTTCAGATTACTTGTATTTATGTATTTTTTATTATGTGGCTTCAGAAAAGAATGAATCTAAAAATAACATGCAGATTTAGCACTCAGTGGGCATCATGGTAAGACTCATGGTGAATAACAGGTGATAGCAGCCACTACTAAATACTACTGCTTAGGACACCATGCAAATGTCTTTAAGACTGTTAAAGCAAGAAATCCAATTCAGCTGGCAAGCATCTTTGGAGGACTGGCAGGAACTTCTAAGTGACTGAAAGCAGGGATTCCCCTGGATCCTGTCTGATACCTTGAACAATTCTGTAACTGTCACTTAAAAGCCCTAATTGCTATTAAAAACAAAAACAAAAACAAAATATAAACAAATTAAAAAACAACAACAACAACAAAATCAACAACAAAATCTTAAATTGCTGCTAGATTTTTAAGATTTCCAGCGATAACTCTCTGGAAAACTCAAACTGTGTCGGAGATGTGAATATGCAGGCCAACAGCTGGATGTTCAAATAGCGTATTACAGTACTTTAAAAGTGTATACACACCCAAGAAAGGAAGAAGAGAAGTATTTCTAGGTTGCACTGAAATAAATCAGACAACGTAGCATAGCTCTAGATAGGTGGGAAATAACAGAAGTAGGTGTAAAACATAAAACAAAACATGCAATTGTAGTTTACAGAAGTAACCACATTTGATATTTTAATAGTACAATTTGCCCAGAGAGAATAGTAATCACTAGTAACACCATAGTCACATATGAAGGGCATGATAACATCATACCTGCCAATGAGAAGCTCACAGAATTTATAATGCCCTTTATCTGCTGCTATGGTTAAAGCTGTATCTCTCGAAGAGGGCACTGGAGGGGCATTAACATCAGCACCTTTATCCAAAAGAACTCGGCCCACCTCTGCATATCCACCAGAGGCAGCTTCCATGAGTGGTGTGAGGCCAGTCTAGGTTTAGCGAAAAATAAAAGCAACACATGAGAGACTGAAAAGAGCGAAAATGTTTAAAGAACCACCTGGGGAGCAACTTGATATAGTTGCTACAAAGAGTCACAACTAAATTTCAGCACTGACACTACAGCCTGAGTTACAGTGTGATCCAGAAAGATGATTCTACTTAATGTCAATTTATTGTGAAAAAAACTTGTGAAAAAAACTTGCCAAGATGCAAGCACTTGGCATATAACTGGCACTAATAAATGTTTCCTGTCTTCTCTTTCACAAAGTACGTATTTTCTAGCTGATAACCCTAGTATGTCATTTTTACCTATAAAAATTTAGTGTTAAAGTATTTTCAAGAGTTAATGCTTGACTGAGTACACAGAATGATTTCTGATTAAATACATATGTAAGATATATGTTACTAGAAAATACTAAAATTATAATTAGCGTAATGCTACTGTACACCTTAAATATCGAAGCAATAAATAAATCCATGTACAAATCTCAGATTTTTCTTACCTTAGCTCTGTGTTCCACATTTGCTTTTCTATCAAGCAGAAGACTAACCACTTCAGTTCTTCCTTGGAAGCAGGCTAAGGTAAGGGCAGTGTTCCGATTGGTTTCTATTTGAGCATTTATGTCAGAGCCCATGTCTAACAGGAGCTTAACAGCAGCTGTATGCCCATTCATAGCTGCTAACATCAGAGGAGAAATGCCCAATTTGCTACCAGTTCTGGGGGTGGAGGTATGGGGAGAACAAAAGGAAAAGATATAAAATTTAAATGTCCCAGAAAAAATTGGATGAATTTTATAGAATTCTATTTCAGGATTTGATTCTTTAGTTTGCAGGACTATTTAAAATAATAATTTTTCTCAGCCCTAGTAAGTCTATGAGATACTACCAAGACTCCATTAGAAATCTTTTACCACCTAGACCTAGACTACTTTCTGTAGCTCATCCAACATTAATGACTTGGGCTGAAAAGTAACTATTAAATTATTAAGTGATTATTAAGATGGGCTTTCCATCCTAAAGCATAAAAACTGTGTTTACTTTTAGTACCATAAGAAATAGAGTAAGTGATGGTTTCTCAAGTTCTATATCAATAGAATAGTTTTAAATACTTAAATAAAATTAATCTTAAAAATCTCTAACAATTTGAATTCTAAACTCGTAATGAAGGCATTTTCTAAATATGGCATAAGAAATACAAGTGTTCTACAAATAGCTTTGTCATAACACTCTTAAGGGGCTTATAGAGAGAGAATAAAACTTGCCTAGAATTAATCTCAGCTCCTGCATTTAGTAATATTTTGATAATGTTCACATAGCCACCAGAAGCAGCCAGGCTTAGAGGTGTGTAATCAGAAACATTCCTGTGCTCTTTATTTGCCCCTCGAGCTAACAACAGCTCCACCACCTGAAAAGAAAAGAGGAAAAGTTGTATTTTCTTCTTATGGTGAAACAATTTGCAAAGTGTGTACTTCTGATTTCTTTATTTTTGTGGTATATCGTATAAGAAAACAGAGGAAAGTCCTTTTTTTAATCCTTTGCACAAAATCAGCTTCAAATGATAGCAAGAGCTCTTACAAGCCAACAGAAAGCAGGCTTTTCAATTAAAATCCATTTTGGGAAAAAAAATCCATTTTGGAATTTGTTAAAATGGCACAGTGTGTTCATGAAAGACCAGGGTCTCAGATCTGCTGGATCTCAGTGTGTTGTTGTGCAATGCTATCTTAGCAATTAGCATTTCTCTGTTATTTCATCACATAGTGGTAAAACGGAATAAGATTTTTTCATTTATAATGATTTAAAAATATTTTTTTAAACTTGTAATCAATAACAATGTTTAAAAACTTGGAATAAAAGTAATATTTATTTTTTCCCAATATTTTATGAAAAATTTTAAACATATGGAAAAGCTTAAGAAATTTACATATACTTGCTACCTAGATTTTACCATTAATATTCTACTACACTTACTTTATTACATCTTTCATCTGTCCATTTTCTGATGCATCTCATTTCAAAGTAAAATGGACACCTGCAATTTCCCTTAAGTGCATTAGCATGTGTTATTATCTAGAATATTACTTGCTTTAAATTTTTGGGGGGTAAAATATATAACTTACAACCAATGCACAAAACTTGGGTGTATATTCACTGAGTACTGACAAATGCATAAAACTAATGTAATTTTTTTTTTTAAATTTTAATACTTTGTTTTTAATGGTTATTTTTGAGAGAGAAGGCGTGAGCTGGGGAGAGGCAAAGAGTGGGGGGGGGACAGAAGATCCAAAGAGGACTCTGCACGGACAGGAGCAAGCCCAATGCAGGGCTCGAACTCACAAAACCTGAGTTCATGACCTGAGACAAAGTCAGACGCTCAACAGACTGAGCTACCCAGGGGCCCCTAATAATATATATATATTTTTTTTAAATGGACAAAGAGAAAGGGCATGAGTAGGGGAGGGACAGAGAGAGGGAGAGAGAGAATCTTGAGCCCTACATGGGCTCAATCTCACAACCATGAGATCATGACCTGAGGCAAAATCAAGAGTTAGACACTTGACTGAGCCACCTAGGCACCCCAAAACTAATGTAATTTAAATCCTGTTATTTATTCATGCCCCTTTCCCAGTCAAGCTCACCTATAGACTAATTTCATCTACCTTAAATCCTCATATAGATGAAATCAGTGTCTGAAAGTCATATGCGGGTATTGCATACCATTCCATTATATGAATATACTATAAGTGATCTATTCTCCTACTGATGAACAGCTTTGCTGTCTCTAGTTTTTGGTAAATTTGAATAAAGTTGTTATGAACATTCTTCCAGAAATACATTTTCATTGCTCATGGGTTCCACCTAGAATTTCTGGGTGTATGTTCAGTTTTATAAGAAATTGCCAGACCTTTTCCTAAAGTGGTTATACCATTTATACTCCCACCAATAATAAGTGAGTCCTGGTTGCTCCACATCCTTGGCAAAATTGGTATTGCCAGTCTTTATAATTTTAGCCATTCTAGTTGGGTGTGTGGTGGTAACCCACTGGGGTTTTAATTTACATTCCCTGATAGCTGAAAAACACTTACCATTTATTTAAGTACTTATTGGCGTCTTTTGTCCATTATGCCATTTAATGCACAAAACAACTCTTTGACACAAGTGCTAGTATTTTCACCTTCATTTTACAAATGAGGCAGAGAAAAGTTAAGGACTGTCCAAGATCATAGCTCTTACCTTGCACTTAGTATTGTTTTTTAAATTTTTTTTAACGTTTATTCATTTTTGAGAGACAGAGACAGAGCATGAGCGAGGAAGGGGCAGAGAGAGGGAGACACAGACAGAATCTGAAACAGCTTCCAGGCTCTGAGCTGTCAGCACAGAGCCCGACACAGGGCTCGAACTCACAAACTGTGAGATCCTGACCTGAGCTGAAGTCAGACGCTCTAACGACTGAGCCACCCAGGAGCCCCTACCTTGGACTTAGTATTAGTAAAATATCCTACAATACTAACTAGGAAATAACAAATAAATGTTAATGAACAGTGCTTTATTTTAACATACAAGCTAAAACTTTACTCATAGGAATAAAGCTATGACTAATTTTAGATTACGACTTTCTGTCCATCACTTTTTTGCTTTTAGAGCCAGAAACAGTAGGTGGCTTATGTAACAAGGTTATAAACACAAGACCAAAAAATGGTATTAGGCTAAATTTTACAGAGTCCCTTAAGCAAGAAAGTAGAAAACCCTAATCAAATTTCTAAAGTTATTAATTCCATTACACAAAGATAACTGAGCTTAGTTATCTCTCAAAGGGAATGGTCTATTCCCACAAAGAAATAAATACTCAAAGATTATAGTATGCTATAGGCTTTAATACTGCTTTGAAAGGAAGGAAATCAACGGATTCTTTTTTGATTCAACACTGAAAAAATTGTTATTTTATGAAGCAAGTATTATTTCAAGCTATACAATGATTGAAAATTTCAGTTATATGGGGCGCCTGGGTGGCGCAGTGGACTGCTCTGGCATTCCTGTCTTTGTCCAGACTTTCATGGACAATGTTCAAAGTTACTGGCTTGACAAAGATATTGTTTATGTGTTAAAAGATTTTCATTCCAGGGGCGCCTGGGTGGCGCAGTCAGTTAAGCGTCCGACTTCAGCCAGGTCACGATCTCGCGGTCCGTGAGTTCGAGCCCCGCGTCGGGCTCTGGGCTGATGGCTCAGAGCCTGGAGCCTGTTTGTGATTCTGTGTCTCCCTCTCTCTCTGCCCCTCCCCCATTCATGCTCTGTCTCTCTCTGTCCCAAAAATAAATAAAAACGTTGAAGAAAAAAAAAAAAATTAAAAAAGAAAATTTCAGTTATATCAAAATTTTACCTTCATCATATTCCAAAACAGAACCATTTTCATTCCCAACTAAGTTTTTCAATTTAATGTTGTTATTAATTGCAAAATTTTCTGCCATACCATTTCAACTTGAGATTAATAGGAATCTCTACATTTTCTGATGCGGTGGAGATAATTTATCAAATTAAGTAGCTTATTTTTTCACTATTTACTTCCTATTATTTGGGTTAAAATCCTTTTAATATACCAATCACCTCTACTATGGAATGCAGGAAGGGAAACAATACAAATGTATTTACATTATCAACCAGAAGGAACAGCACAGTAGAGACACATTCTTTGTTGTCTCCTACGCAAAACATCTCTAGAAAGTGCGTCTAACTATCCACACACCTATAATCTATTCCAAATATAAAGGAGCAAAAATTATAAATTTAAAAATTATAAATTGGCCAAAGCAACAATTGTATAAAAAAAAAAAAGACTATTATCACTAGGCTCTAATTCTTTTTAATCCACAAGATAAAGGATCACCAATTCCTATCTTTCTATATACATGTACCATTTTATTAGATTTCCCATTCTTTCTGCACAAGAATTATTCTACCTCTTAAAAATCTTTATCTTCTGGTTTACTAAAAACTCCAGTGGGTTTAGCTGACTAGAGTTCAATATAACCTGATGTGTTATGACAGGCAAAGGGTGGGAGGCAGTTTGGTTTTGCACAAATAGGGAAGTAATAACCTACCACCTCCCTGGCCAGAGTAATTTTAGATAGAGTATTTCAGGAGGTATACCGACATAATGGATAGAACAGCCTGTTGAAGGATTTGGAAAAGATATCCTCAAACCAATAATCAAAAGAATAGGGTACACTTCAAATAGAGAACAGGTAACTGGCAAATACAGCCTCAAATATCTGTAGATATGAGAGAGTATAAACCTCTTTCAATTAATCAAAGAACAGAATTAAGAATAGTGGGGAAACTTAGGGAAGGCATAATTCAGGTTTGATAATTAGGAGAACTTTATAATAGGATGGCAAAAAAAAAAAAAAAAAAGTAAAAGATTTCTAAACTGAATAAGACACTGACCTGGTTAACCCAGGGTACTTCCTAAATCTGAGATTCAACAACTCCCTAACTGAAAAGTTGTCAGTCCACAGACACAGCACAACTGGCTAATCAAAATCCTTACAACTGGATTTAAAAAACAGATTTAAAACATTAGGTTGCCCAGCTGTTCATTAAATGCCAGAAAACACACATGGGTGTAAAGCTATAACTTCTTGTGCCTATACCTGATCACACCAGCTGTTCTACTTTCCTTTAAAAAAAATGAAAAGATCATACAATCTTATCCGAGAACCTTTCTTCCAGATTTGAGGAGTGGGGGAAGATGAAAAGAACAACTAAAAACTGAATGCTCTTAATTCCCTACTAATCTTATACATAAAGAGCAAAAGAAGCTGAGCTTAAGTACCTTTCATGCTAGGTACTCTAGGATAGGAAAAGATGAATGATTATAGGCCCTGCTTATGAGAAGTTTACAGATTTGATTGGGAATGCCTTAATCATTTCCTTAGCCTGAATGCAACACACAGGGATTCCTACGGCAGATACTACTTTCAGATGAACAGAATAATAAACATGATTTTTCTGACACGATACCTTATGCTAACACTGATACTTGAAATTATTATCTATTAGCAAAAGGACAGTTACTGTGATAAATCCAGATGCCAATCCTCTATTACCATCAAATCATAAAAGTTAAAACATATATTTGCTAAACAGATGGACAATTATTACAATGGAGAAAATGTTACCTCCTGCCTTCCCCCAGAACAAGCCAAAGATAGCGGTGTGTCCTTGGTTCTCTCTGACTGGGCTTCAATGTCTGCACCATTGTCCAGCAATATTTCCACAACACCAACATGACCAGCTGTAGCAGCCAAGATAAGTGGAGTAAAACCTAGAGGAAAAATAATGATCTTCTCACTACATGCTAAGCAAAAGAACAATAGTGTTTTCCATTATATCTATCACAATAGGACTAGAAGCAGTATTTCTTCTAGAAATACAAATATTCTTCTAGAAATACAAATATTCCAGAAATAGAAATATTCTTCTAGAAATACAAATATTCTTCTAGAAATACAAATATTCCAGAAAAAAAAAAAATTAACAGAAGTAAGCCCTACCTTTCTTGTCTCGGTGCTCAATGCTAGCTCCTCTCTCTAGCAGTGTTTGTACCAGTTCCTCATGACCACCAGCACAGGCAAGTGTTAGTGCCGTATCATGATTACTTTCAGTCTATAAAAAAATCATTTTTTGATTAGCTTATTAGATAATTTTCAAATGACAGCATCAATTATATAATATATACTTATACCAAATACAGATACAGATGTACCATTCTACTGTATCAAACATTCGGGTATTAAGTCGTTCTTTTTCCATCAGCGGCTAACGTGTGATTTTGTAAAGGCTACAAAATAACATTTGAACTTTATGGGCAATTCTTAAAGCAGGCATGAAGGAAAAAAAAGTATGATTTTCCAACCATATGCTATTTACAACTACATGATTAAATTAAACACTGTTGGACTCACTTTTACTTCTAGCCATTAATGGAGTAGCATAGACAACAGCACAGACAAGATTTGTTTTCCTATCTCAAAGAACCAAAAAAAAGGGGGGGGGAGGGGGCAAACTATTTGAAATGATGGTGTTTAGAGAGGCAGTGCATGGATGGCAGTGATCTCGGAGGACAGAAATGATTAACTCAACTTATTGCCTAGAGAGTTTCAAGGCTTCAGGGCAGACTGGGTACCCAAACAGCCTGTCAATCTCCCGGAGTTGAAAAGGCAGAGTTTGGAGAGGTCAGGATGGCTGGAATTCATGGGGCAGACTACTAGAGAGGAAAGTACTACAAGAGTACTCTAGATTAGCAACACTAAGTGATGCTTTGCCTAGGAAACAATAAATGACAGTTAAGTTAAATGAATGACAACAGCTATATGGGATTACAGATTCAAAGACTATTTCTAATAAAACAAACGACTACATATATGAAATATATATTTATTATGTTTACATATTTATATAACATTTATTATATTTATGTAATAAATACAAAAAGAAACGGCATTTTCTCCCAGAAGGTCAATAACTCTAAAAACCAAACTCTGTCATAAAAAAAAGAATAACGAGACAAAAGGCAAAATCGATAGAGTCAAGAAATAAGAAAAAGCCTACTAGTCAGTGATGAAGAGGGAGACCGCAAAAGCTGCTCTGCAGAAGAGGCTGGCAGAGAGCAGAGCTACTGACTGCAGAGATCAGGGATGGCCACAAGGGAGAGATGCACCAACTACAACAATGAAGAAGGACATGAATACTTAAATGAGTGACCGCTCTGACTGTGTAATAGTATTTGATCTTCATTTCAGGTTTATAAGGAAGGAATTATTATGTTTGATTTCAGAAAAAAAGAGACAAAGCCTCAGAGAAATAACCTTCCAGTGGTCACACAAGCTAATAACTGATAAGGATCGGCTTAAAAAACCAAGGAGATCTGGATATCAAAATCCTCCTTTCCCCATCATAAAGCAGTCCTATGGCAGGCCAATGGAGGTCAATATAATGTTAAGTCTCTCTGCCTTATATGCTCTCTCTGTTAGTGTACAGACCATTAGAAGAGTCAACTTTATGATGAAGAGTCCACTTTATGATGAAGTTTATTAGGTTTCTAAGAGTTTCTGGGGGTTAAAAGAGTAATTTAGGAAAGTGGTGCCAATTTTAAATAGAAACTGAACAAACAAAATTTGAAAAAGATCAGCATGGGAAATTTTAGTGGATTAGTAAAATATTGGTTTTTTCCCACATTATAAAACATCAGCTCAACTGACATTTATTAAGCACCTTTTATGTTCAAAGTACTCTGTTAGGTACTTCAGGGTTGACAAAGATAAATAAATACAGTCCCTGCTCACCAGGAGCTTAGTGATTGATTACAGCAAAGGGAAAATTTAAGTTCAAACTATGAAAGAAATATAAACAAGGTATTATGAGAGTTGAAGGAAAAATATTTAAAGCTAAGAAAAGAGGGCTTGTCAAATTCCTTGGGGAACTTAAGAGTGGGCAACTTCATTAATATCTTACGATAATCTTCTAAAGACAATAATGAAAGAATTAAAAGATTCTGAAGTGAGGTTTCCACCTTCCTAATACACACCTACACAATCCCCAAACGGTAAGAAACACTATCCTGATTTGTAATACCTCAAGAAACAAGTTAACTGAAGCAAAAGTCTGGGTTAAAATTAACAATGATTGATAAGGCACAGAAAAAAAAATAGGTGTTTTCAAGATTACTAATCAAGGAAATAATGGTAACAATATAGGTTGATGACTTTCTGAAAGGCAATGTATCACTAAAGTCATGTTATATTACACTGGCTAAGAAGTCACACACATTGTCATGTATCTATATCTAAGAGAAACCTGAAAGGGAGAGAGATGCCCAAAGCTTTGTTAAAAGCTCATTCAGGTCTACATTCTAAAGAAAATTTCCATGTAGCCTATGATACCATAAAATATACAATTTTGTATGTAACAGATGTTGTTATGATGACTCTATTCTTATAAAAATGCTAAAATTATATTCAATGTAAAAATATTATGTAAATTATCAACATGACTATTCAATTATGTAGGAATGAAAAATAAGAAGGAATCATAAGACAGATGCAATACTAACAGAAAAAGCAACTTTTAATGAGCTGAGATATAGGTGAAAAATATACCTGAACGGTCTGTAAAAATAAACAAAAAATAAAAAAGGAAATATATCTATTAATTATACCTACATAATTAAATTACTTTGAAAATTATTAGGACTTCAAGGGCTAAGCTTTTTTTAGACTTCCATAACCTTCATAATCCCAAATCTCTCATTCTCTAAACATGTCAGAGGTAGCACATAAAATACAAAAAAGATTAAAAAAAAAAAAAAAAAGCATTTAGGAAGAATGAGAATTATCAGGGAATAATGACAATAATCAGTTAAGTAATAAATAACTTGCTTAAAACTTCACATAAACAAGTAGAATGCATGCATTTGAAAGAAGAATGCTTTAATGGCAGCATACTGCATACCACTATTAACTCATTTTTCCTGGTCTCTTTAATATTTCTCATTAAATCATTGTGATGAAACTGTTCTCCATACTGCAAAACCAACAAGGGAAAAATATCCAAAAGATATTTATATTTATCCATTAAAGGCAAAACATAATTTTACATACTTTATAATTTCAGTCCTGACATTTAAGTTAAATTTAATGTCTACCCTCTTTAAAAGATAATCATGGATTTATGTTATTTCACACAATAAATACAGAAAATATTTAATTTACCAGTATTCAACTCTAACCTTCAACCAGATGTACTGTTTCATATAAAACCTATAGTTCTTAAAAGTTTCTACATGATTACTAATTTCTGTATCTAACAGTACCCAGATACAAATTTTGTTATGCCATTCCAGCAAAATAAAGATTAGAGCTACGTTATGAAAAAAGATACAGTAAAAGTCTCAAATAATTCCTTCAAACTATCATTTATTGATGTTTCCTAAAGTAAATGTTGATAACAGCACAGTATATGCTATTAAAATATATTAAATGTTATTATATTTTTTATATATAAATTATATCTATAAATTATATATATAGGTAGATAGATATAACTTAATATAAATACATTAAAAATATTCAGGAAAGGGGCACATGGCTGGCTTAGTCACTAGAGCATGCAACTCATGATCTTGGCGTTGTTAGTTCAAGCTTCACGCTGGGCACAGAACTTACTTAAAACAAGACAAAACAAAACAAAAAAAACAAAACCAAAACCAAACAAAACGAATAAAAACAAATATATCCTGACAAACTTGATTCAGTAAAATCATTATGTGAGAGGTAGAGAGCCTGTGGCACATACTTACACACCAAAGGTAATTTTTAGTTATAGAATGTAAGATTTGGGGAACCTTATAAAGAGTGTAAACTCTCATCTTCAGCAGTCTTCAAGTTCCAGAAATTAAACATGATTCCTGTTCATCCTTGTTAAAAATATTAGTTTCTGCATATAATGATCAATTAAATGAGTTTAAAGTATGATCATGTGAAGACTCATTAGCATATTTTAAAAGACACTTATACGCTGAAGGTTTAAAAAAATTAACATTTGTTTTGTTTTTCTTTAAATTAAGAATTGACGTAAATATGCCCTATGGCCAAGGAAACATGCTGAAAAGATGCAAAGATGAAAGAAAGAAAAGATGCCATCTAGGTGGTGGACCTATTTTCTATAATCTAATTTACCAGGTTAATATAATTAAAATCAGTGTTCATACTTAAGATAAAAAGTTGAAAACGAGGTAGCATAGTGCAGTGGTTAAGAGCATAGATTCTAGACCTAGATTGATGGGGTGGTTTGAAAGACAGCTCCACCATAAATTAGCTGTTGGGTGAATAGTTAGTATCTCTAAGCAGGAACTTTGTAAACTCTATGACAAGCAGTGTAACTCATGATAGACTATCCCAACTGAAAAACCTCAATATAGAGAACACATATTTAAGAAGGACACAGTCAATCTTTTTACATAAGCATGTCAACTACAATTAACATATTAGATTTTTTAATTTAAAAAAATTAGAAATATTTCTATGTAACTTCTTAGAAATTAACTTATAACACAGCAATAGCTGGTTGAGTAGTATAGTCAGGTAAAATTTCACCACCACTATAACAATTTCAAACTCCATAAAATCATGATCATATGAGGAATTTTTTCTGTGGCTATTTTATTCAAAAGAATTTTTTAAAAAATCCTTTTATATTTGGTAGGTTTTTAGTTTTCCTTATGGATCAATTCTTAATTCCATATAAAACTAGAAATTAGATCTCTGGTTAAAACATAACAGCTATAGGTTACAACATAACAGCCTCAGAGGGGAAAAAAGCCTGGAGGAAAATAATGCAAATTCAATACCAAGTTCAACCCAGTTCTATATTGCTACGTATTATTAAATATAAACCATGTGGTTCATAAATGAATATTTCATAGTTTTTTTAATTTGAAAAAATTTAAAAAACATACTATAGAGTATGGTAGTTAAGGAGGGTGTCTTTGAAGTCAAACCCACCTAAGTATGACTCTCAACCCCATCACTTAGCTAAATGAACTGATCCTCAGCGATATGTTTAATCTCTCTCTTAGCCTTGGTTTCTTCATCAGGAAAATGGTTATTTAAAAGTAGTTACTTCATATATGTGGTCTGAAACTCAGACAATTCCTTAAAATAGCCCTGACAACTTTAAGTGCTTAAAAAAAAAAAGTACATATAACAACATTTGGAAAGCAAGTAAGAACAGAAATGTAATTCCTTTTTCACAGTATTACCAAGAAACATTTTAATGAAAAGGAAGCATTATTTTCTTAAACATTCTAAAAAATTTTATTTATTTATTTTGAGAGAGAGACAGAGTGAGTGAGCAGGAATCCTAAGCAGGCTCTGCACTGTCAGCCTGGAGCCCGAGTGGGGCTCGAACTCACGAACCATGAGATCATGACCTGAGCTGAAATCAAGAGTCGGATGCTAAACCAACTGAGCCACCCTGAAGCCCCAGAAGCTTTATTTTCAATAGGTTGAGAGTACAGAGCCTTAATGGTAACACACACACACACACACACACACACACACACACACACACACACTTTAGGCAATTCAGGGTTACAAAGAACTGATTATTTACAAAATAAAAAGTTTTATTATGTATACTGCCACCTTCACCCATGTCATGCCTTCCCCACCCCAGATATATATTTTTTTAATTAAAAAAAATTTTTTTTAATTTTTATTTTAAGTAGGCTCTATGTCCAAGTGGGGCTTGAACTCACGATCCTGAGAGTAAGAGTCATGTGCTCTACCAGCTGAGCTAGCCAGGGACTCCCCAACCCCAGGTAAAAATCAAAATACAAAACTAAATAAACCAAACAGTTCTCAGTACTGAATAAGGCCATATACCCTTTACCTTATTCAGCAGTCTTCTAAGCTAGGCCTTATCTTAAGCTTTTTTCCAGGACAAAACACAAGCTATCCTCCCCTCTCCAACTTCACTGTGACCTGAGATTACATGGTAAACTAATTTTCTAATTGGGTTTTTTGTTTTGTTTTGTTTTGACTTAGTCCTAAGACACAGACAGCCACTACATGTTTTAGTTGGCGAGATCAGAACTTTCAAAGACAATATAAATGCAATTAAGTATATACGATACATAAATGGAAGAATCTTTTATGTGTAACCCATTATAAATTAGAAGCATAACTTCTAATTTAAGATTAGAAGAAAACACATACTAATTATAAATAAGTTATTTCTTTTAACAACCTCTTCTAGACTACAGTTAAAAAAAAGTTACTGATGACCTTGAAAACCAGACCATCACATAATTATCAGTAATAATCTGTATTTGGTATTTTATTTTTTAAAATGTGGATTCGCATTCCTAACTGTGGCTCAGATCTCTGGCTGGAGACAAAACAGTCTAAGATGACTTAAGTCTAAGATGATTAATGTTTTTACTGATGATATAATTTTAGTTAAAAACCATCCATCCTGAATTTAGAGCTTACCTGTGCATCAATATCAATGGCAGGGTAGATAGGAAGCATGGCTGAAGGAGAGATGATAGGACTTGGAGTTGGAGTCTGAGGTTGGGAAATGGAAGCAGCGATACTGTGTGTAGGAGTGTTTGACATTGCAGATGCTCTTCCACTGACTGCTGTTGAACAAAATAACTGCACTTAATAAGGATGAAACATTGTTAGGTAACAGTAAGAAATAATTATTAGAAAATATTTAAAGACTTCTTAAAACAAAAGGTCTATAGGTAAACTGTCACAGCTCTAATAACTCACTTTTCTGGTTATTTCTGACTTGGGATAACAATCTAAAAATAAAAAGTATATTGAGAATAACCCATTTTCTAAATAATAATCCATGTGAAAACCAAATTCCTCTCTTACAGTATGTATTCATAAAACCTCAATTCAAAATAACCCTGAAAACAAAAATATGCTTATGAATTCAAATTGAATATAAATGCAAATGGATAGTTGTTCATTATAGCTTCTTTTTTTTTTTCATTATAGCTTCTTAATCAGAAAACGAATAAAAGGTAAAACAGTCAAGTTCAGACGGAGGAAAGTGTGAGTTTTAACCTGCCAATGTCACACCTTATATTCCAATGAAAGTAATATCACTGGGGAGAACCTCACTATAGAATCATTTAAAACACTTCCTACTCTTTTACTAACTGCAGACTGGGGGATGGTAACTTTCTGAATGGTAGTCCTCAGCAGGACCGTATAGTAAAATATAAAAATTTGATCCTCACACAGAAATATAGTTTCTCACATGTAGAATTATTCTGAGGGGGTTAAAATGCCCACCAATCAAACCAGCAATCACACTGACGAGGACAAAATTAAAAGATTAAGGTAGAAATAAATGTATGCACAATCATCCTTCAAATATAGATTATTGTTAGTTCTAAGTATAATTTTTCCATGATATTATTTTCACCAAAATATGCAAATTAATAAGGGGCTAATTAGGTCAGTACTTGAGGTGGGAGGACTCCAGAAGTGGTGGCAACTGAGGGTATTTATATTCCCTCATGGATTCACTTCTGGAGCTGATATGTGAACACCAACCCTTTTTCCCCCATATTAAAAATGCTATAGCACTGAAGTGTGGGCATAAATCTTTGAATGGTCAACAGTAGCGTGGATGTGTGTTACCAACATACTTATCAACTACATCAGACAGAAAACAATCATGATTCACAACTGGATCTGAAACCAGGCAAAAGAGGTTATGATCCTGCCAAGAATAAAACTGAAATTGACCTTATTATAACAATTATAAACATGATTGTCAATTAAGAAATCTATTTTACATGAAATCCTTAGTTCAGGCACAAACATACACTATACATTATAGCAACACACATTCTATGATTATACATTTTTAAGTCCACTTAAAAGCTAAAGAAAAAACAAAGAAAGGAAACAAAACAAAACAAAACAAAACACTGTTTGAATCCTTAGGGATCCAGATAAATAGAAAAGGGCATGTACTAATATATTAAATTGATTATCTAATGACCTAGATATTGTTATTCCATATTGATAGTTTTATGTTAAAAAAATCAAGTTAATTTAAATGTACACATTCTAGATATAAAATCTCAAAACCATATAAAATCTATGGCTCTTAAAACAGATTCCATAATCTCCTCTGATTTGACTGATTTTCACAAATAAAAATGCTAAATACAAAAATCAGCTTAAACAGAATGAACACCAATCTGTCCAAAGAACTGATTTTTATTTCACAATAGTAAAAAAAATCTAAGCTTTACTATTAAATGACTATATTGTTATTTACATTTTAACTGGAATAAGTTCTTTTAAAGAACACACTAAAATTAGTTTTCTTATTTTGGGTCAACTTGCTTGTTCTTGCCACCTCATCTAAAAGGAGAGGAAACACCAATTCCCTCATTTCATTTCATTTCATTTCATTTCATTTCATTTCATTTCTTTTCGGGTAGTTATGAAATTGGTTTATTAGAACTAAATACCTGCCTGACACTCAATCATTCCCTACAGTTAAAAGTAACAACTTATAAATATGCAGGTACCTGAAGGAACTCTGGTATAGATCTTTACATGTGGTACTTCATTTTAGGGTCTGATTTTAGAGAAGGAGCACCAGATGCTCTAGAAAAGTTTTAACATTAGGTAAGGAAAGAAAGAACTTGAGAGCACAGCAAAGGCAAGGTGTTAAGACTGGCTAAATAAGGAACTGATTTTGCTCTGACAAGGATGGAGAACAGGCAAGACAGAAGATTTGGGTCAGCCAAGTACTACAGAAAATGATACTGAATCTTACAAGAGGAGTCTAATAAATTGGAATAAAGAACAAGTTTATTTAGGTTCTTTAAAGAAAAAGAAGAGGTTATGCTTAAGTGGGGAAGGGATACGGCACCTAATGAGGTTACAAAATATTAAGAAACCCAAAGAAAGAAATAGAAATGATCATTAGTCAACTGAAAGAACAAATACTACCAAAGAAGTTGTCTAAAGAAAAAAGTCGTAGAAGTGAGTGCATTAGTATATGTGTATGTTTATGCATTTGCACATGCATGATGACAGGGATGGACTGCAGGTAAGTGGTTGGATGTTTTTAATCCTGCTCTTCCGTCTGGTCATCTCTCCTCTCTCCATATAAATGGGCATAATAAAGAGGAAGAGTATTTTTATAATGGGAAGTATTTATCCTATTTCCTAAAAACTTGTGTGCTTTTGAAATTTTTTTTATATGAAAACACCTGGAACACAAAGGCAGAATTTAATTGTTTTTGTTTGGTAAACCAATTAACAGAAAAACTACTTTACAAACCTCTGATAATTCTGATCAGCATAAAAACTGTACAACTGGCAAATCAAGGTTGATAACTATGCCCAAGAACATCATGTAAATTCTGAAGCATATCAAAAAAAAATTTTTTTTTAAGTATTCCCTGGTAGGAATGTCCATTCTTCATTTAAATAACTTGATACATTTTTTGGTAGTTCAACCAACATAATAGAAAGAAGACCATTATGACCTAGATTAATGGCCATGTAAGTAACACCAAATTTGGGACTTTTGGCTACTGTGCTCCAATCTTCATAAGATACTAATGTTTCTTTAATTGTATTCCCAATTATTATAACCAGCTAATGGTGATTAATAGTAATTTTCAAATCTATAGAAAAATTTTATGTACAATTTTCATAAGATACTAACATTTCTTTAATTGCAATCCCAATTATTAAAAGCAGCTAATGGTGATTAATAGTAATTTTCAAATATATAGAAATATTTTATATTTATCACTCTAAGAATCTTCACAGTTCTTACTAATGATTATTAGACTACTGCACCCTCTAAGATTAGCAAAGAATTTCATTCCACATATTGTTGTTGGGGTGATACTAAAAGAGAACTAGGAAACTTTAGAGCAATTTGTAAGAACAAAACCTGTCTCATTAGCTGGTGTCTTAATTTCTGAATGTTAGCTAAATATCTCAACACTATACAATTTAATTTTCTTTTATGTTTTTGAAAGATGAAAGATAAATTATATATAACCTCATCATACTAGATAATGCTGACAAAACAGTTTCAAAATTAGAAAAACTTAATCATATAGAAGTATAGAACAAAGAATAAAAAGGGGGAAGAAAACAGATAAATACTATCAAATTTCACTACTTGCTGCCTTTTTCTCTTTTCCTTCCTTTTCAAATGTTCTTTTTTATCTTTTTCTTAAATCAAGAAAATTATCCTTCACAGTATAGCATTCTTATGGCTTATAATCCTGTAGAATCTCATTCTACTACTTTGTTACAGAACTCACAAAAAGTAAGTACCAAAAACTAGAATCATTAAAACAACCTTCTAAAATATTTCTTCTTGCAATGAAACTAATTATAATGGAATATAATTTCTCTGGCTACACACTGAAAGATATATCATTTATGATACTGTCAGGGGACCACAACTTCCCATAATACAATTAGAAAGAGACTACACATTAACATTCACAGGGGATAAAATCACTGACATACAATCAAACCCTATTTGGTTTGGTACTTTATTATCGTTGTAAAAGTGTTTAATTTTTTTTTTTTTTTTAATATCCATCAGGTTTGAAGTCTGATCCATTAGGATATAAAGTATTTCTGTTCACAAATAAGCTTCCTGATGTGTCCTACTAGTTTTGCACTTCAACTTCTATCAATTTCCCAGTTTAATGGTGTGAATACAGAAGCACAAAAGCCAAAATTCAATCTTAGTATTCTGAACTTAAAGAGAAAAAACAAAATCAAAAACAAAACTCAAACATCAACCCCACTACTGAAAAAACCTAGATCCCCAGCCTACCCAGCTAAGCCAAAAAGTTTCAGTCACTTGTATTGCATGAGCTAATCTTTAATTCGACCTGTATCCGTCTGAGAACTTCTGAGATTGAACTAATACTTCTAAGGATATACATGGGTCAAGAGTCCAAAAATAGTTCTCAAGTTGGGTAATGGCAAAAAATTCTGGCACACTCTTACTCGCCTTAAGCAAATCATATTTGATACCTGCTCATAACAATATAAACCCACCTGCCATGATGTCATCCAGCGTGTCATTGAGGGTCTGAGCAGGGCTGGCTACCATTAACCCTTGTTGTGTTTCTGTCAGAATTCCTTGCCCCAGCCCTGCCAACTGTGCTTGGCCCAGTACTGGCTGTCCAACTATCACTCCTTGCAGTTCTGTAAGATTTGCGATGGACCCTGGAGGCAAGGGACCTGCCGCCAGAGGCAAAGCTTGAGGCATGGCCAGAGGCTGGATTGGTGCAAAACCCATCTGAGCAGCAGTCTGCTGGGGTTCATCTTTAAGCAAAACGGGATCCACTTGCTGTAACCGTGCATAGTCTCCCTCGGAAAGCTGTTCTCCAACCCCAACAGGAGTTAGCAGTCCCAGATGCTGGCAAGACTGTTGCTGCTGCTGCTGAAGTTGAATTCTTTGAGCTTTAACCTCTAGATACTGCTTTTTTAGCTGCTGCTGAGTTTTCAGTTGTAACTCTCGTTCTACTTTCTGTAGCTCCTCCAAAATCTTTTGTTTCTTCTGAATTTGTTCCTCCCTTGTTTTGTTCAGCTCCTCGATCTTCTCCTTGGTAAGTTGGTCAGCGTGAGCCAGTTCCAAGGACTGCAGCTGTGCATTCTTTTCTATGGCTTCTTTTATCCTCTGTTCCAGTTCTGTTAACTTTCCCTGAGCCTCTTCTACAATGCTCTCTGGAGACTGATTGGTGATGTAACCCTGTACATCCTGGCTGTTTGCTGGCAAATGGCTGCTGGACTTTTGTTTAGAAGCAGCTGTGTGAAAAAGAAACCCCCTCAGAAGTGCACATGAATGGCATCCTCATTACAGAGTTACTGTTGGGAGGTTTAGTGCCAACAGTTATGCACCAAGTTATCATATCCACAGAAGGTGAAAATGCACTGTTAAGAAGTTTAAAAACAAATCCACCTTCTTTATCATAAATATAAAATGTATGTATTTTATGTGCATAGAGAAATCTCTGGGAAATTAATTTTAAAAATATCACATGGCTAAAATTAGACAATAGAGGGATGCAGGTCTGTGAGATCTAAGTGGTGCAATTAAAGTAAAATCTAAGGCTATGTGTAGATACTTCATCTGGTCATAGAGATGTAAAAATTTATCATCAGAACAGAAAAATAACGCTAGATTATTAAGATGTAAGGAAAACTTAGACCTCTAAGTCAAGGTTTTTCCACATTTGATAGTCTATGTCTTTTAAACACACACACATACACACAAAGAGTACCCAAACCACTGAGAAGTACCGGGAAATCTAAATCCAGCTAAAATTTGTCTTTGTTGGGGGACTACCATCTTCAAGACTGATAAAGGCAAGATATAAATTCACATATTCACACAGCTACCTGGCCAGTAGAGATTTGGGATTCAGTTTCCCTGGAAGAAAAGATGCTGGACTACGCCATCCACTGTATCTTCTGACAGCCAGGTGAATAAACAGATCTGGCTATGGGTACAGGAATCAGTTGTTTGCTACACCAACTGAAAAAAGGTGCCAAGGCTCTAGACTGGTAGTAGTGACTGTAAAGAGCTGGTGGAAATACTTAGTATTCTTGTTGGTAAAATAATATAGGTAGCTAAAAACCAAAAAATTAAAACCACATTGGTTCTTCAGGTGAAACTTTTTAAAAAGAAAAACTGATTCAAACTGGTAGCTGTAATGTTTTGGGACATGACTTAAAACATGCATGGTGTAACATCCACAAGTCAAATATGGACCTCAGAGTTCTAGAGAAACAAACAAGCATATCTGAAGTAACTTTCAATTATTGACTGAGAAAGGTAGCCCAGATATAAAATCTACATTAAACCAGTTACTCTAAAATATAGTTTAATTTTGATCTAACTTGTTCATTTTATGCCTTAGATCACTACAGAAATTTAAGTAATTTACAAAAATGTCATCCAACTATACCCAGCCTAACAGTTTAACACGAATAGAAATGACCAGTTATTACAAGAAATGGTGGATAATCAGAACTGCATCAGAGATGAGCATCTGAATTTCTCCTGCTAATGCTGACAATTCTAGCATAAATCAATGCTATTAACTATCTTCTCTCACAGTAACATGCCTTTTTCACTAGTAAAAAAAATTTTTAATTATGTCAACTTAGTAAAATTCACCTTTTGTGGAAAAATAATTATAAATGGCTAGGTTTTTTGGTAATCTTATCATTTTTACCTGGATAACATGTACAAAACAGTCTTCAGAAGTATAACTGACCTTTATTCCTGATGGGAAGAGTAGTGGCAACATTGGCAGGTGGTTTGTCAGGCTCCTGAGGTGGGACAACCATGGGCAGTGCTTGAACTGGTACACGAGGAGCCTAAGACAAAGGAAACTGATTATATCTCTGCTTTTCCTACACACTCCATTAAATAACATGCTTTAAGAATAAGTTATAAAGACTTCTTCAAAATATTTGTAATATGGTATTAATCTCAGACACTGATATATTTACTTAAAATATGTTGTTGCCAAATTATTCTCCACAACACTTTTTTAATGCACTTTGAATTCAAATGGTTATTCTTGCCATAGTAAGAAAACAAAGCAAAATCACATCAATCTACAATCTGAATATTAAACCAGATTATATCATTAACCATTTCAACTGCATACCTATAAAGAGAACTACATATTATAACAAAGTATAGTCAGATCTGTTTAAACTGAAACTATGAGCCAAAGGAGGATAAAGAAGATATGATATAAAATGTTTTTGTTTTGAATCTTACCCTATTTAAATCGTGGGATGGGGGGGTTAACTGAGTGACATCTGGTGGAGGGGCCGAAAGCAAATTATTAGGATAGTCCAAAAGATAGCAAACAACACTCGTATGGCCACCTTTTGCTGCTTCTATCAACATAGTTGAGCCATCCTAAGAGTGGACACAGAAAGGGAAAAATAAAAAAAAAATAAATTAACTTATAGAACCATTAAGGATGATAAAGCTAACAGGCCCTAGCAATTCAAATCTTAGGTTTAGTAAAGAACACTTTCCTCTAATAAAACAGAAGAAAATGAATATGTTTAGAATGCCATTATAAATCGAACTGGTAGATGATATTTTCTAATGTTCAAGAGTGAAGAATTAATTCACAATGCTACCCGAAACATTTGAGTTACATACTTTTAAACGATGAGTAGGATCTGCCCCATGAGCCAAAAGTAGTTCCACCACTGCCAGATGACCCCCTGCACAAGCCAGGGACAGTACAGTATGGTCATTATTAGCTGTGGTTCTATTCACATTCGCTCCTAAAACAGACAAGACATGGGAAATCATGTTAGGAGATTGAGGTTTCTTAAATTATGGTAAATTTCAAAATCATAAAGAATAGAGAGAATAGCATAATGAATATCCATATACCCATTACCCAGCTTCAATGATTATAAACACACAGCCAATCTCATTTCGCATAAACCCATTATCAATTCTCCTCTCCCATCTTGAATTACTCTAAAGCAAATCCCAGACAAACATGACATAATTTCATCCATGAATATTTTAGTATGCACTGGTAGAAGATAAAAATAAATGTATATATTACTCCTAATGTAATTAGTTTTAGAAAAGTAAAACAAAATTTTATCTACATTTTAAGTCCTTCTCTAGGTATGTAGAGAATTACCAGGGAATAGAAAGTAATAGTACTACTGGCTTCTTTCACTGGGAAATATCTGAGCATGAAAACAAGTACACTGCCCCTCCAATATGAATTCATCTCTGATTTAGACAGTGTGCTAGGCAATGCAGGAAATGGATATAAAATAGCAGAAAGAAAATGGAATCTGATTAATTAAAATTTATCAAAGAGAGAGGATTGTGATTATATAAATAATTCCATTCTTGAAAATACTATGGTATAAATATACATCACAAATAAGTGTTCAAATTGCCTAAAGTAATTTGACCAGTAACTGATTTCTGACTTAGTTTCTTTTGCTATTATTAACAATTACAAACTTGAGATTTCTTTAGTATTTTTGCTAAGAAGGAAATGGTATATATTGCCATTTTAATTGTACATGGCTTGTATAGTCTTTCTTTTATCAATGTTGAATCAACAGTAAAATCTTTCATATCCTATACTTAAGGATATGATGAAATCTGTGGGGCGCCTGGGTGGGTCAGTCAGTTAAGCATCTGCCTCTTACTTTTGGCTCAGTTCATGATCTCAGGTTTCGTGGCATCAATCCCTGCATAGGGCTCTGTGCTGACAGCATGGAGCCTGCTTGGGATTCTCTGTCTCCCTTTCTCTTTGCCCCTGCCCCTGTCATACAAGTGTGTGTATGCTCTCCTCTCAAAAATAAATAAATAAACATTAAAAAAAAAAATATGATGAATTCTGCAAACAAAACTATTTCAACTTGAACTTACACAGTAAACCCTCACAAATAATTTAAAGGAAGTAATAATATGATACATTAGTCATTTAAAATGGTTTTTGATATTCAAAGTAGAATTACTGACCATAGATGAAAATCTTCCATGCATTTTGGTTTTTATCACATTTCAGTTTTGAATACTTTTTATACCGTATTTATGACCATTTCTCTATATTTTACAAAGAGGAAACTTAGGCCCAAGGATATGTAGAGTAGAAAAGTGACTTGCCTTAAAGTAATTCAGTGGCGTAAGAATCCAGGTTTCAGGATACATTATTACATAAACAGAACAGACTTTAAGTTATCTAAACCCTCAAAATTTTACTTAGAGAAATTTTTCTTTATGTAAGTGTTCCTTCACAAGGATGGTACTCAGTATGACAATCCTTCATAGTTTGGGACTATGGAACTGTTTGGAGATGCTCTATGCATTGAGGATATTTATCAACCACCCACTCACAGAATCTCAGTAGCATCCCTCCACCAATCATACCCAAAAATTGTCCTTTACCTCTCAATCTCTAAATATCCAAGGGCAGGGAATAGACACCTTTGGGGGAAAAAAAAACTACTGCTTACCCAAACCTACCTTTACTAATTAAGAACTGAACAGTACAAACATGACCAGCTCTTGCAGCTTTCATTAAAGGAGTCCTTCCACCTTCAGATTCATGTTCCTATGTAAAAAACAGACTTAATTGATATTTAATTGCTAGTGTACAGTTATTCTTTTTCATGAAAATAAAAAGGAAAAGAACTGGACAAATTTCTAAGTCTAAAGATATTAAATATCATGCTTTGAAATGAAATAAATTTAAGGAATACATTTTTAAATTTAAAACTCAAATCAGAAGCATGTTCTACAGATGTAATTTAAGAACTGAAATTATATTCATGTGATTGTGACACCTTCATCTAAATCCATCTGGGTAATTTTTCCTTCTCTCTCTCTCTACCAAAAGGACTGTGGAACTTGACCAGTGAATGGCACTCTAGCACATCCTTCTCCAATCAGCATTATCCCCATCTACTCCAAGTGATTTTCCTTTTGTAACCTTGCACCCTACCTGTATGAATTTCTGCAAGTACATCATTCCCTTTCTTTATGGACCTCCCATTAAAACCACATTATCTTATATGAAAACAACAAGGCTAGTGACTTAATAGCTCAAAAACCACCAATTACAACGTCTTACTAGAGATTTCTGGGTCTCAAAAAATGGAGAATCCATTGCCTTCTTCTTATTGCTGGGTAATGAGAACACTTGGAGAAATTTTCCAAGTTATATTTTAGAATATAAAGATTTGAGTTATAATACATATAATATATATATTTTTTAACACTCACATCTGATGAACAACTTTTGAGTCTTCTCTTAAGCCACACACTAAGTTGTTTGAATTGCAATTAACTAAGCAAGATACATTGCTGTATGTTTCACAGTCACTGTGGTAAACACTGGAAAGCTCAAAATCTAATCTTGAAGAAATAGGCACACAACTAACTAGAGTATAATATGTGCCATAAGGGCTTCAAGAGCTGTACTAACATACACAGAACTGAAAGAGACCACAATAGTAATCCAGTTCCACTCTTAGGAAAGAGAAGTTAAACTTGGCAAAACTAGTTAATGGAGGAGTCTGTTTCTGCTTGCCTGTGAATTTTTGTCATAAACTATGAACTTCTACAAGAACACACACTTGCTTGTTAATCTCAGCCCCATGAACATATGGGTACTTAAGTTTTAACTACCTTTTCATGTCTCACTTCTACTTCCTCACACGTGAAACTGGAAGACTATTTTCCCCACACACGTTTGCTTTTCCTTCCCTGTCAGGCTGTCCTCACACTGTTTTTTCCAACAGGAATATCTCTTTTGTCACATCACCATATCCACCTTTCTAAACCTTAATGTAATATCTCAGATGACGTCTTTACGTCTTCTGAGCTTCTTTATTGTCTGTACTTTTGCTGTGACATCTCTTCATAATCCACCCTACAATAAACTCAGTATTTCATCCTTCTTACTAAGTTGTAAGTTGAGGACTATTAAATACTTATATTCTAAAAATAGCTAAGTACCTAAGAAAAACTTTGTATTAATGTATCTAATACAAAATTTCCCTTTTATGGGGGACAAGGGGAAATAGATTGTATGACCCCACTAACAAGAAAAAAAAAAACAGACACCAAAGAGTGTAGGAAAAAACAATGACCAAATGAGAGAAAAAATAGCAAAAAGGCCAACAGAAAATTAAAAGAAATACCTTTTATCTGTAATCTCCACTGAACTTTTAATTAATTTGTCTTGGTTTTAAGTATTAGGATTTAAAAAGTGACATAGTTTACCAGATCTGCTCCTGCTTGAAGTAGGACATCTGCTACATCGGTATGACCATTCTCACAGGCATATGTTAGTGCTGTATCCCCTGTTGCTGTTGTTGCATGAACGTTAGCTCCTGTAGTAGTATTAAACAATACAGAGACTTAATAAAAGAATTGTAAGACATAAATGATGGACACAGAAATTTCTAAATAAGCCATATGTCTTCAAATTAGACAAAATAGTCATCCATTTCTAGAAATAAAGAAGACTGTCAGCACTTTAAAAGTAAAAAATAAAAAAAATCAGAAATAGATTATTGCTTGAAATTAAAGCTACAGATACTTCAAACAGTAATAAGGTAAATTAGTTATAAAGTTACCACAACTTTTTACCACATTTTTAAACACACAATCAGTGTATCATAACATCAGAAAAAAGTTACTTGCATTATAACATTTTTACTTGGATAAATCATGTAAAAAACTCTTTCCAAATGCAAAAATGCCTACCTGCAGCTAATAAGTATTTAACTAACTCCAAATGACCCTCTTGAGCAGCTTCCATTAAAGGGGTAGAACACCCTAGTTCTATATCAGCTCCTGCCTTTATTAGAAAGTCTGCCACTTCCAGAAAGCCTCCACAGCAAGCCAGAGTCAAGGCAGTTTCTTGAGTTTCTTCTGTCTGTGCATTGATATTTGCTCCTAGAATGAAAATTCTAATTATTTTAAGGAACTCACTAACTTATTCCAGAGATAAGCAAAACATGATTGTTTCCTAATAAACTATACTTCAAAAATAAACATTTACATTATTTTACTAAATATAGTGCTTCTCCCCTACTGAAAGGCAGTACGAATAAAGAAAAAGTTATTAAAAATACATCCACGAGTCTACATTTGATGCATACAGCTGGAGTAAGATTTATTCAGCCAGAAGGCACATAAGTGTGCCTATATATCTCTATCTACAGATATAGATATATGAACTTTCACAGCAACCCTACAGAAGACTAAATTCAGGCACAGAAGGTTAGAAACTTGTGATTCAAACCTAAGAAGTGTGCTACAATACATCTGCTTTTAAAGTTATAGCCAATATGCTTTTTTTAATGTTCCACTCCTCTTAAATTTGTCCAAACAAAAACCTTACTACTAAAAGAGATATAAAACTTGGCTACAAATCTATAGAGAGATAGGAGATTACTTCTAAACTGAATATGGCTTAATACCGCAAAGTAACCATTTCACTTTTCTCAAAAGAAAAGTCTACTGTGTGCCGATTCTTTTACAGCTTCTTATAAATACATTCTTACGTTCTCCTCAAGTTCATCCTTATGGTAGGATTTCCCATACTGTGTCCCATGAAACCCTAGATATATCAAATATTTATTAATAGGTATCCTGCCCCAAGAGAAATTCTCTCAATATACCACTTTGAGAAATGTCAAATCTCATATATGTCTCTACATAATCTACACCCCTACCTCACCCCCAGTTCTCTGCTTGTATTCACAAAGCACACGATGCCTGAAAAGTTCTATATTAAAGCAGTCTATTTGATTTTGTTTAGCACAGTATGGAAGCTATTTTCAAAGCAAATACGTTGTTTTTGTGACAACATCTTGTTACATATCTACTAGAAAGAGAAAATACAGAAACCCAGTTTTGTACTATTATAATGTTATGTTTTACACATTTATGCTTTACTGTTTTCACTGGTATGGTTGGTTACCTTGGCCTAGAAGTAATGCCACCATTTCTTCATGTCCTTCACGAGCTGCCTCCATCAGTGGTGTATAACCTTCATCATTGACTTCTTCCAGGCTAGCTCCTCTTTCAATAAGTAAAGCCGCAAGTTCCACATGCCCACCACATGCAGCCAAAGTCAATGGTGACTCAAATGAATCAGCAGGCATGTTCACTTGGGCACCACTGTCAAGAAGTAACCTAGCTACTTCAACATGGCCATCCTAATTACAATGCAATTAAAAAAATTAAATCAGCACCATTAAAAACAATTGTTAAAAATATGAAGATTTCTCAATTACTGTACAATGAAGGTTTACTGACAGTCAAATAAGAATAATAAATCTACATTTAGCAGATGAGAAATCAAGTATTAATTAAGACCTATCTGTATTTCTGTGGCATAGATGGGGAAATAGAGGTTGAGGCTATGAAACATGTAGAAAAATAATACCTTCCTTCAATGAAGAAGCTTATTAACCATTAGGGGAAAAAAAGACATTAAGTACATGAAACAAAAGACTACTATGAAATAACATCAGCACCTCATGGTATATACTTAAATGCTAACTAGATAAAGTTTAGAAAGGGAAAGTACAATTTTCGTCAAAACCTTAAAGAGAAGCAAACTTTTGATTAGGCGGAAAAAAATTGGCAGTATTTTTTGGAGAAGGTAGAGAATTGTAGATAATGTGTTAGGGGAAAGGGAACACAATATGTAGATGGTACTTCCTTTTGTTTTTCAACATTTAAATGCCAGTAAAAATTAAAAGAGAAAGGAGTTCTCTCTATCTTCTGTCCCCTTTGCTGGTCTCCCTTTCCAATAGCTTTCCTAACTACTGGCAACTCCAAGACACTCTAATTTTTTTTTTAACCTCTAATATAAATTTTCCTTCTATATATTACCTCACAGACATTTCATCTTTTTTTGTACACATCACACCCATTTTTACCTCTGTGCTTGCCATGTTACACAACTTTAATGCCCCATTACAATGGTTACTTTGCCTTCCTTCGGCTCAGAATTTTCTACCTCCATATATAGTCAACTCCTACATTTCTTTTAAGTCCAGTTTAAAACCCCATTCTCTTAGCAAGCTTTGAAATGTCGGGCCACTACTAATATCTTTCATCTATTTATAACACTTCCAGTACGTACTGATTAGGTCTACAAAATGCTCTATTTTAATTTCTTAATCTATATACCTTCTAATCTAGTGGTGGTCACAAGGATGTTTTAAGTTCCTTATCATGGGGATATTACTGATGTGTTTTATATGCATTATACCATTTAATCCTCACAACAACCCGAGAGAAGGATATTATCCTAATTTTAACAGATGGAAACTTAAGACCTTGAAAGAAAACTCGTGTTTCTTCAAAGGATAATTTACTAAAGGAAATATTAGCATGACAATAAAGAAAACAAAGATAACTCAGGTTTTAATTAGTTACCTAATATTTTTAAAAATTAGTAATTAAAATTTAACATCCTTTCAATAATCATTCTCTGGAGGGAAGTTGAGATAAGAAACTTAAATTCATTTGGTGCCTTTTTCCATCTTTGGCATGTTTTTCTCGTAAATCTGTCTACAATGTTATTCTGATCCATTTCTATGCCACAAATCATATACTGAGATACAAAAGTTTAAGAGGACTATTATTACCTGTTCTTAAGTACAAACTCTAAAAAGAGAGTTCTTACAAAAGGAATTAAAAGCTCAGAAAACACCATTCATATAGGGGGAATTATGTTACACAAATAACACTCTAATTTCAAATTTTTCAGAAGTTACATTTTTGGTTTGATGTATTTGCTATGCTTAGTATTATATGCATACTTGTGGTTTATATTCTTCTTAATATCCTTGATCAATTTTTTAAATAGTTGCTTTTTGTCCCAACTATGTAAAACCAGCATAGTTATGGGAGACTAGGAAAATAAAAGTAGTTCTGTAAAGCTCCAGAAAGCATCTTTAGTAGAAGTTAATATTGTACAACTGGCTCTGAACACTGGTCACAATTCAGATAGCTGAGGTTCTGTTCTACAATAAATCTATAATAAACAAATCTTTGAACTCAAGAATAAGGTCCCCAACATATGCTAGCACTGTCTTTATGAAATACACAGATACATTTCATGTATGTATTTCACCAGTCTTACCATGCAAGCCTCCATTAGAGCAGTGTGCATTTCATCTGTTTTATGCTCTTGATCTGCCCCTGCTTCCAAAAGAAATCGCACCATCTCTAGGTGTCCTAAACCAAAATGTGTAAGATTATTATAAGGTATTTTATTATTCCAAAAAATGTAAGTTACAGTATTTTAAAAAGTTATATTTAACTTATAGCAATAAATTTATAAGCATAACACTAAAGTCAGCTACAAGCCACCCTCAACTGTCACACATAAATTATACAAGTGATTCTTGCTCTTCTACTTTTTACCCTGTTGCCGCTACTACAACCCCAATGCAACTGAGCAAAGATGTCACTGAAATCTAAAACCCCAAATATCCCTTCTATAACCTTTTCTAAGAGCTGAGGCATGCTCTATTTATTTATGGTATGGAACAAATTAGCTTTTGTGAATTAGTTGCCTGGGATAATAATAATTGAAGTTATTTCTATGAGGAAATGTGTTTTAAGTTTCAATTACTAACTCACAGACTTTTTAAGAACAATCAGCCTGTAAATTGGGAACTGTATATATAAAAAAATACTTTCGAAACCACACCATTTAGTTTACACTTATGCATTTATTTAGATATCATACACACACACATATATATGTGTACATAATATATACATACACACACACTCTTGCCCTTGTATTTACATTTATGTAGTTTCAAATAAACCATATGTTTCAGTTCAAATAAAGACATCTTACAAGTAGTTAAAAAGACAAGGACTTCAGACACTATGCAAGTAACAATAGAAAAATGACTTAATTTTTTTCCAATATTGTTTGTTAAGAGTTGCAGTCAATGCTCAATCAGGACCAAGGGGAAGGAGCAGATGGTAAAATCATAAACAATTAAAACTAACTTCAATAAGTAACTTAGCATCTGCCATATTTTGTTTTTGCTACCTACCTCCCTCCCTTTCCTCTCTGTCATTCTCCCTTCCCAAAGATCCACATCAACGTTCAGTCTCAGCCTGAGTTCTATCCCTTCCGCATCTTCTCCTTGTCAATCTATGTCCTAGAAGACCTCACCCAAAATTAGAGGAAAGGGAGAGGGTCCATGGTTCCTTGTAAGTAGCAGAGATGTTCTCCACCAGCTCAGTTCTATATCCAGCTTCTAATTAAAGCCTGCAAGCCCAACCTCAGACGCCCCTTGGAAAGCAGGGTGGGGCTATAAGCAAAGGAGAGAGGGAAGAGTAGTTATATGTAGCCCGGTCTCAAAGCTCTTCTGGCCAGCTGGGACTAAGTGGTAAAAACAGCCAGTTCCGGGTTCAAAAGTATTTGTGAAAAGGGGAGAGAGCCACCCAATCAATCAGCCTGTCCTGGAGAGGCTGTCCCAAGGCTTAATTCCTCTCCTCTCAATGAACATAAGCCTCTGCCTAATTACCAAACAGTACTAGGGAAGTAAGGGATCTCAGCTGTGTTTCCTAACCATCCTTACCTGAAGCTCTGTTAACACCAATCAAAAGCACTTTAGATAGAGCATATTTTCACATTTAACTTATATTTTGTCATGTATGTATTTAAGGGTTATTTTAACCATTGTTTGTAAAGGAAATTTTTCCAGATGACCTTACACAACCTTGGCCACTCTAAAGTAGAATGAAACAAAACAACACCAGAGCCAGTACTAGGGTAGGGCAATCAAGGGCCTAGGTGTAAAATTTAAGGAAGTGTTCTCTCACAAGCTTGGTGGGTGAAGTGATTCAGCCATTGAGAGGAAGTGCCTCCTTGAACTCTGTACCTTGTCTTGTAAGCGCTGTTTCTTGACACCTAATAGTCAAGATTATCACTTATTTTATGATACAAAGATGACACAGCTGCAGATGGTATGAAAGCAGACATAAAATTTGGTTTTTAAAAAGTTCCTTAGTTAATAGCCATTTATCTGTCAAAAAGGTAGACTTTGAGAAGTACTGGCTCTGTGGTTATCTTTTTTAGAATCTAGAATCTAGAGCATTAACTAGCTGAAGACCAAGACACTTTCCAGACAATTGTCTTGCCCTCTCAAAGGAGGGTATGTTTCTGTATTACCAATATTTTCAGGTTGATTGACATCATTTAAAATATCACATACCCCTTTTATAGTCACATATACATATACATATACAAAGGTATGGGTACGTGTTTTTCTCACTTTCAACCAGGTCTTCCTTCTAACTTTATGAAATGTATTGACGATACTCTAGAATTGTTCTTTAGAATTCAAACTCTCTTCACACCACTTTTCATTTCTCAAATCTCCTCTAGTCTCTTCAATTTTTCTCCTTTCTTCTTAGTAGCATGAGAAATAGCTTAAGAACATTCCTATTAATGGATCATTCTAGCTACTTTGATTGTATTTACGTTTAAATTTATAGGCTAAATACTTCTGGAGTCAATAGGATTCTTTCGTGTGAACCATGAAAAATATTCTGACACAAAAACCATTAAAAAGTACAGTGCATAATTAAAATTAAATAACTGTTTCTGATAAAACAACTGAATCATGTAACAGTCATTTTTCATTGACATATATTTATAATATTAAGTCTATATTTTAAAATTTTACATATTAAACTCTGAAACACTTTAAACCCTTTTAGGTTAATTACATACCATATTCTATTGCCACCTCTTAATTTGCTTTTTAATTTAAAAACTCTATTATATAAAATAACTGTCATCTCATGTACTTAAAAACTTTGTTTTAAAAAAATGTTTTATACCGTACCTTTGTAACAAGCTAATGTAAGGGCACTCTCTTTAAATTCATTGGAATGCGTATTAATGCCAGCCCCATTTTCTAGCAGCAATCTGGCTACTTCCACATGTCCAGCACTTCCAGCTTCCATAAGAGGAGTATGACCATTTTCATTATGGTCCTCGATACTAGCACCGGATTCCAAGAGCACCTTTACAACATCTACATAGCCTCCAGCACAAGCGTATGTAAGTGCTGTATTGCCTATTTTAAGAAAAACAAAAAGACATTAACATAAAATATCAAAATAAAAAGATCCTAATTTAGTTAGCATCAGGAAGAAAACTGAAATGGGAGACTATAATTTTAATAAATTTAGAAAATATATATCATTCCTTTCCCATTGCCTTTTATCTTACTGAAATCAACTCCCAATTCTTTCCATTTAGTATCAGGGTCAAATATATATGGAAAATAGACACACTTAACACGACTGTAGAGTTATCAAAGAACTGAGCAATTCTGAAACTAACTTTTCATATAAAAAAAAAGTTATGTTCATTGTAACCTTAATTGGAGAAATGTTTCAGAAGCTTTATGTTGGGAGGATAATTATTTATCATATATAGGTACATCTCATACTGTTCCTTTTAATTATACATATTTGATTTCCTACAAATTCAATTATCAGTTAACTGATCAAAGCTACATAATTTCAAAAACATTCCTTCTTGATGATAAAAATCTCCTGTGTTACAGGGGGAAAAAATAAACCTTCTGGGTAAAATAATGATTTCTAAACCCCTTCCAACCAGAACCTGTAAGATCATAAAAATTCTTTCAATTATTTAACAAATTTGAAAATCCTGCATGAAGATGCACAAAATATATTTTCATTTAATTTTTAGAAGTTTTATATAAATCCATCCATGCCCAAGTTTGAAGAAAAAAATAAAGTTAGTTTAAACTAAAGTCATGTCCATTGTAGGACACAATGTTTTCATAATTTTTTTTCTATAGGCCACAATTTAGTAACAGTAGACAATGATAGACCTGCCTTTTGTTCCATATCCTTCTTGTTTTCCCTATCTTCCCTTCCCTTCTTCCCTGAAAAATAGGAAACCTGGATTGAAGAACTATAGCCCATTTCCAAGAGGGTAGTCCTTCTAACTGGGCCAGTGTTTAATTTAATCTAAAAGAACCTCAAAAGGCCAAGTAATCATCCTCAGACACAAAAGAGAAACTTTATTCAAAATATTTCTATACTTTAAATCTAATGCATACACTTAGGAAAATGTGCAGTACTTCATAATTAGAGCACTGCAAAAGCTGTACTAATGATTTTCATGTGACATAGTTATTACCAAAAGGTGCTAATATTTAACAAAACTGAAAGAAGAAACATGAATAACCTGTTGAAGACTGTGCATTGACATCGGCTTTATGAGCTAGCAGCAACTTCACAATTTTGACATGTCCTCCATTAGCAGCAGCCATTAAAGGTGTAATGTCACCTTTGATTCCCCTATCTTCCACATTTGCATGCATTGCCAACAAAACCTTATGAAAGAAAAAGTTTAAATGATATTAGAAAACAATATATTCATCAAAACATGTGGAACATGTTTACGTTAACACCTACCTAGTGATTTATAGTCAGAGCCCATAACCACAACATGTATCTAACAAAAATTTGTTGAAATGAGCCTAATGGTTGAGTTTATTTTATTATTTCTTGTCTAAGTAGGCCAGATTAAAAAACAAAAACAGAAACAGCCCATGTGCTTTATTTTGATACTACAAACCTGTGCAAGCTCATAGTATCCAGCAGAACAAGCTAAACAAAGGAGGCTCTCCCCTTCCTCAGTGTGCTCATTTACGCTCCGCCCTTCAATGAGTAACTTTCGCACAGCATTTACATCTCCTTCTGAACAGGCTTCTGCCAAACTGCGGCTATTAGGGAAGAATATTATAACATCAGCATATAAAAATGTTAAAAATTACACACCATAAGTATTGGTTTTTGAGGTTAATCTGGACAGTCGTGCTAAACAAGAATGATCACTTCAATATGATCCATAAGAAACAGAAAACTGAAAATGACTCAGTTCACTAAAATCTACTCATAAAATTCACTGAATTAGAATTATCAACATTATAAGATGTTTATAGCTATGCACTGAAGTACAAAGTCCACTTTACTATCACTGGAAAAAACCCAAAATTCTAAAACATAAAATTTATGGAAAATCACACGAACAAAATAGAGGTAATAATTATACTTCCTTTTTGCTCGGTCATGAGAAAATTTATATAAAAGTTAATAAAAATGTATTTAATAAAACAGGTAAAACTTATACTAATTATAAAGGTCTACTTGAATCCTTCCATCAATTAAAGGGAAATCAGACAGGAAAGTTACAAGCATATAATTTTGAGTAAAATATGAATAAACAATAAGGAAATTCTTTTTTGAAGTATTTACTTATGTATCATATTTAGTCGAAATCTGAAAAATACCCAGGCGAGGCAAATGCTAAATTCAAGCAAAAGGAAAGTAGAAAAAGTGGAACAACAGAAAATTAGACTGAGAGTAAAGTGTTTGCCCTATAAACTTCCCAAAATAATTCCAACTATGGACATTTCTAAAAAATTCCATTTTTGGATAAAATCCATCCGAAGAAAAACACTAAATCCAGGGCTCTTAATTAACATTCTCTTTATTTCAAATATAAGTCAATTCTTATATCATCCTTTTCAAGGTCCTGTCACTTCTGGTACTGAAGTCATCCATGGAACCTCTCTTCTATCCCTTTATTATTACTGCCACCCAGATTCAAGAACATCATGTTTAGCCTGGATTAATGGCAAAGTCTCCTGAACAGTCTCCCTGCTGTTACCTTTGTTTTCCTTCAGACTCTTTCAACATGGCAGCCTGAGTGAGAGATCTTGTTTAAAGGAAAGTATATCATGGCATTCTTCTGTTCAGAATCCTCCATTTGGCTTCTGATCTCAAACTAAAAGCCAAAGTACTTACAAGATCTGTCCAGTGGTAGGGTCTCACACTCCTACTTTTTACCTCTCTGGTTTCATCACCTATTCATCACTCTTATTCTTTCCACTTTAGCCACACTGATTGGCTTTCCTGCTTTTCATAAAAAATGCTAATTAAGCTCCAACTCTAAGATACCTGTATTTGCTGTTCCTCTGGCAAGACCTCTCAGACACAGCTCACACCCTTACCAATTTCAGGTCTTTGCTAAAATGCCACCTTTTAAGGGAGGATCTCCTTGACTACTCTTAAAAATGCACCATGACTTCCAACCCCAAACATTGCCCTGGCACTTTCCCATTCAATTTTTCCCCACAGTTCTCATCATCGTGTGCCATGTTACATATTTTACTTACTTGTTAACTGTATTGTCCCCTTACCTACGTCAATGTCTTGAACAACACTTAGTGTCCTTGTCTCGTAATTTCCCATTTTAAAGGACACTAACAGTCCTCAGACCCAGTGTTCTCTATTACCTTTAAACAAATGTAAGACAAATCCTTCCTACAAGACATTTCTGTGTAAGAACATCTTTTCTCTCTTTCACATGGACTCATATTTTCTTTCTTCCTCAGGCACACACACACCCTACTCTACTATCCCATTCAGGCTTGCATTCAGACATTTCCACATGTGTATGCTAGCTTTAAAACAAGCTTATAGGAATTACTGTAGCAACAGTTCAAATTTCAAACTTATGAGATCTGGCAGATGGCACCACACTTAACTAATAAAATCTAGCATATAACATCAATGCACTCCACTATATTTCTCAAGCTTTGCTGAATAAATGATTGTCACAAACATGCTCTGTTCTTCTAATATACTCAATGCCAAAGAATCAGTGACTTTTTATTTTTCTGTTCTATTTCCTGGTTGAACTAGCCTTAATATACTCTTCAAGGTGCTTTTAACTTTCTTTCTTGACAGTCTAAACAGGCACCATATTTAAGAGAATATCAATAATATTACAGGGTGGTAAAACTGTTAATTAAGAAACAGAACTTGAAGTTAACAAAAGAAAGAGGGTCAATCTATGAGAAGAACAGTAAATTAATAAAAACACAAAAATCTAAACCAATGAAGATGAATACAGAGCCAAGAGAAACAGCAAATTTTCTTGTTAATACTATACAGCTTCTTTTTCATGCTCTTAAAAGATGTTACATAAAAACACTATTATACAAAGACAATCCCTTTTTTTTTTTTTTTTTTTTTTTTTTTTAAGAGAGACAGTGGGTACAAGTGAGCAAGGGGCAGAGAGAGAAAGTGAATCCCAGGAGAAGAGTTGGGGAGGGATGGCAGAGAGAAGTGGGACTCACCAAAGTGGGGCTCAAGCTCACCTGACATGGGACTCAAACTCATGAACCCTGAGATCACAACCTGAGCCAAAGTCAGATGCTTAATGACTGAGCCACCCAGGTGCCCCAAAAGACAATCCTTAAATGCTATTTTTTACACTCTAAACCCATATATAAAATATATATATATAAAATAAAATAAAAATTTTAATTAAAGGAAAACAAGCCTCTGAGTAATCAAAAAAATGTAACATATTAATAATTCTTTTCCATTTGCTTCCTTAAAGCTTATATCCATTTTTCATATATTATCCATAATTGGTTTTATATATGAGATGGTATGATTTTTATTGAGTCAGATCACCAGAAAAACTTAAAATAGCAAAGTCACAAAATATTCACTGAGCCGTAACTATAAAGTACTATAGAAAAGAAATTGTAGGGGATACAAAAATAAAATCCCTGGGACTCACTTACATTCAAATTATGGGAACCAGATCCATGATATTTCTTGAACATTCATAAAACAAATAAATTAAAACCTTGCTATTTAAAATGGTCAGAACAGGGGCGCCTGGGTGGCTCAGTGGGTTGAGCATCTGACTTCGGCTGAAGTCATTATCTTGCGGTCTGTGAGTTAGAGCCCCGCATCAGGCTCTGTGCTGACAGCTCAGAGCCTGGAGCCTGCTTCTGATTCTGTGTCTCCCTCGCTCTCTGCCCCTCCCCCACCCATGTTCTGTCTCTGTCTCAGAAACAAACATTAAAAAAAAATTTTTTTTTAAATAAAATAAAATGGTCAGAACAATGCACATGAACTAGAAATGGCATGACTAATTAGAAAGCATTTATTTCTTTGTCACCAAAACATTAAAAGACAACAAAATCTATTAAATAAGCAAAAGCTCTTTTATAACATATTGGCTAAGAAGTCAGTCTTGTATCACTGGTGTCTGAGCTTTGCCACTTGTCAGCTATTTGATCTTGATTAAGTTATTTGCTTCCCTTGAGCTTTTCATGAGTAAATGAGAGTAAAAACAAAATCCATTGCTTTAGGGCTTTATGTGAGTAAAAACGAGATATCACATATAGTATTTCATATATACTTCCATGCCATGCACAAAATAAAAGCTCAGTGAACATTAGCTACTTTTAAGAAAACGTTTTTATATCAATCACAGAGAAAATGTTCTTACTTGTCCGACTGCCCTGCATTCGCTGTGCTTTCAGCTCTCATCCGGGTAAGTGCAGCAGCAGCTTCATCCAACGCACAACTAACAGACGACGTCAACCTCCGAAGCACTTCAGGATCTGCAAAGGCTTTACCATCAGCCGTAGATAATTTGCCTATTCCTATTATATTATTTTCACACCAATATGGACACACCCAAAAGGAGAAACAAAGCAAAAGTCAAGTTACTTAACTCTATATATGTTAGCAAACAACCTTCAAATGTTACACTTGACATATATATTGTCTGCCTGGAATCTTTTGGGAAATCACTGTTCTCCAATTCTCTAATAATCTTATTCCTTCCATGTGGTCTGTAAGTGCTTGACCCTGTGACTCTCTGGTGCCAGAAATGGGTCTTTGGCCTATGCTGGAACAACTAGGAGTCCTCACTCAGACTTTTGCATTGGTTTGGTAGGACCTATATGTTCAAAGGTTACTAAATTGCTAAGATGTGAGTGATGAGCTATTTGGCCACTTTCATGACTACCGAGAAAAAAAGACCACACAAAATATGTCATTTAGAGGAGAGGAGGGCAGAGAAATATAAAGAAAACAGAGTTCTGATAACGTTATTTTAGTGCCAGGAATCAGAACAATCCCCATACTTTCGGTAGATCCCCACTTTTGCTTAAGACTGTTTAGGTGGCTTACTACCACTTGTGACCAAAAATGGCCTAACAAGACATAATAGGCCATACATACAAAAGATAACCTATATATAAGCACCTATTTATTTCAAATTACATCTATAACTTATTACATGTACTCAAAATCATATCTAAAAATCATTCATAACACCAAAAGAAAACAAATTCAAAAGCAGAACTGGTTAGTAACCACTTGCATGAATATAATTTACTGCTTTTCCAGATATCACTACAAAGCAAATTTATCTTTAACCTTTATTATTCTAGCTCAGTGGTGCTTAATCCAGGCTGCCCATCTCAGCGGAGCTTTTCAAAAATACAGATGCTAAGCTCTCCTCCATCTAAAGATGTATTAAGTAAGAGGTGGGGCCTAGGCATACATATATTTTTAAAGTGCCAAGATTCTAATGCACAGCCAGGATTAAAAACAACTGCTCCAACTTGAAGATAAACACCTAGATATTTTGGATCACTGCTCCTCAACATGTGGTACATGGACAAAAAGCATTGCTGTCATTTGGGAGCATGTTAGAACTGCAGAATTTTGGGCCCGAAGATTTACTCATCCAAAACCTGCATTTTTAAAAAAAGATCCCCAACCAATTCAGAGGCACAGTAAAGTTCAAGAAGCATTATCACAGGTTTTAAAGCAAACTAATTAACTAAGACATCAATCCAAAAAAAAACCACTCAAATGGTAATAATAAACATATCCTTTCACATTGGAAGGGCTTAATAACATCATATAAGTTTGTGTTTAAAGTTCACAAAAATTGGGGTGCCTGGGTGGCTTAGTCAGTTGAGCATCTGACTTCGGCTTAGGTCATGATCTCACGGTTCATGAGTTCGAGCCCCACATCGGGCTCTGTGATGACAGCTCAGAGCCTGGAGACTGCTTCACATTCTGTGTCTCCCTCTCTCATTGCCCCTCCCATGCTCACACTGTCTCTCTCTCTCAAAAATGAAAATAAACATTTAATAAATTAAAAAATAATAATAAAGTTTACAAAAGTTTATACTTATCTCCTTTTCTTTCTGAAAAACCCAAGATATCAAATACTACATCTTATAGAACCAAATATAATTCTGGCAGGAAACCTTTATGATTTTAGATATAACAAATGGTCAGAGCAATCAAATTTGGTATGTGTTACAATCAAGATGTGCAAGGAATAAAGACAGTCTCAGTCTGATAAAACTGATACCTACTATATAATTTGTGTCACTAAAAATAAAATCCAACCATAGTCTGAATCTGCTATAGTAGTATTTATTAAGATATTTATGATTAGTTAAGTATCCTAACACTATAGAAACCAAAGCCACAGACGCATTTTCACGAGACAATAGCTCCAATTTTTTAGCCAATTCAGATCAGTTATGTAACAATTATTTGTCAATAACAGCAAGAGAACTAGGGAAGAGGATATATCTGATTTAGTAGAAAGTAACCACTGCCTTAAAAAGAAAGAACAGTGAAAACAAAATATTCCATATTAAATTTTTATCTTCTCATATCTTCATAAGTAAAGATAACAATTTTAGTAAATATAACTAGGTAGGAAGTAACATAAGATATAAATGGTAACCCTTCAAATAACACACTGATTGAAAATGAATTCATTGTAGCTACTCTGGATTATGATGATCCTTTTTTTACTGGTCTTATCCAGTTATTAAATATTAATCAATGAAGATCAAAAATCAGAAAAGATGTGGTCAAATGATTCTTTCCCAATTCTAACATTTAATCAACTGAACAACAGAACCATGTCACTTGTGACCAAAAATGTCCTAATAAGACAGTATAGGCTACATAAAATACAGAAGAGAAAAAGTACATTGAAAAATTACCTACATTTCTGATTTTAAGATAATTATTTTCTCTTTTTTCCCTAAGACTTACTCAACCTAAGTCCCACTTATGAAGACAAAAAAAAAAAAAAAAAAGAGAGAAGTAATGGACTTAGCAGAACAGAATAAACAGAAACATAGATATCAAAAGAGAAACAAGGTGATCAGCCCATCAGGACTCAGGAAGTACAGGTCCCAGATACAGGGGTAAGGCTTGGGTCATTATACAGAGAGACTAGCTGAACACTGTGAGAAGCAGTCAAACACTCAAAAACTCCATTCCCAAACAGCACAGCCAGATGATTGTTCTCTATAGAAACCAACCAGAAAGGCCCAGGATTAGTAGTCATTAGATACAGATAAGAAAGAGACGTTATACTAAATGGAAATGAAGATTAAATAAGTGTATGCATGTCAAACAGTGAGATCCTCAGCCTCTTCCCACTCTAAGCTCCCAAAATTCAGGTAGCCAGGTTTATCATTCACCAGACAAAAACTGGTAAATGTCTCTGTCAAGAAACTGAAAAACCCCAGAGAAAACACTTAAAGATACTGACATTTGGGGAGTTTTCAAAGAAATGAAAGGGTCTCTACCAAGTCACTGTGTACTGGAAATTCTACAATGTTCCCAAGATTACCCAGCTCTGGTGAACTCCCTCTGTGAACTCACAGTCTTGGGACTGTGGATTTGATAGCTTTTATCCCCATGATTAGGTTACATAATGTGGCACAGTTGACCTAAAGACAGGAATATTATCTGAGTGAGACTGACCTTATCACATGAGCCCATGAAAAACAAAGCTTTTCTAGGCTAGTTGGAGAAAGGGAAATCAGAGATTCTTACCATTAGAAGGATTCTACTGTGCTGGCATGAAGATGGACTGGGCCACATGTTAAAGAATGAGGGCAACCTCAAGAAGGTAAGAGCAGCCCCAGCTGACAGTCCACAGGAAATCAGGATCTCAGTCCTACAACTCCTATCAACAACAATAAGCCTGAAAGTAGATTTTCTCCTACAGCCTATAGATGAGAACTCTACTCATCAGCAGATACCTTGATTTCAGCCCCTGAGACTCTGGGCAAGAAAATCTATCCACACTGTGTGCCCATATGTCTTATTTACAGAAACTAAGGAATAGTAAATGTCATGCCACTATGTTTAGAATAAACTGTTGTGCTGTAATAGTAACCCAATTATATAATATATATCATTTACAATATATAATAAATACTGCATAGTGAAACCCACCAGTTGACAAAACATGCACATATACCTTCCAGTGTAGCTTTTTATGGCTATGCTATTGACTAAAAAAAAAACAAAAAAACAAAAAAAACAGACTTTTTTTGTAGAAAATCTGAAATGTAAAGGGCAGCCAAAATATTCAAAATGTGAACAAAATTTTAAATGCCGAAAATTCTAATGATATGGAGAAGGAAGACATAGGAAAAGTTGCAGAGATAGCAGACTACTATAAATAGTGTGGCATTAACTTTCAGAACTGCAACACCAGAAATTAGGAGACAATGGAGTAATAATGTCAATAGTCTGAAAGTTATTTTTACACTAGAATTCTATATGTAGTCAAACCATCAAGTATGAGGACAGCATCAAAGGCACTTTCAGGCAGAATCAAAAACTCTTTATTTTTCAGGCATACTTTCTCAGGATACTTAAATCATGATCAATCTCTACACCATGAAAAATGAAACCACAAGAGTGGTTCTGTGATACACAGGAAATACATACACCATGAATAACTGTTCATGCCAAAGCCAAAATGAATTTGAATCTGGTCAAATATCTGGATCTGAATTCCGATTTACAGGAAATACAACATGCACAAGTGCCATAAAATGAGTCAAATAAAATCTATTTATTCAACACCTCAGCGGGGGGGGGGCCGGGGCGAAGAGGAAGAAGGAACCTGTTAACAATTAAGAACTCAAATTAACTTGAAACTTTAACATGAAAAACACATATAATTTTACATACAAAAATATGTAAATATGAAATAGGTGAAGGAGACTAAGAGTACACTTATCATGATGATCACTGACTATGTATAGAATTGCTGAATCTCTGTATTGTATACCTGAAACTAATATAAACACTACATGTTACCTATACTGGAATTTAAAAACTTATACAAAAAATGAAAAATTTGTTTGGATCCTAATTTAAATAAACTAAAAAAGACCATTATGAAACAAGTGGGGAAATCGAAACACTGACAGGGTATTTGGCAATAATGATGGAATTAGTATTATTTTTTTCTTTATATGCAATGGTATTTGGTTATTTTTTTTAAAGGTCTTAATTTGCAGTATATACTGAAGTATTTATATATGAAATTATATAATGCTTAGTTTGCTTTAAATTAACATGGAGGGGAGGGGGAGGGGATCTCAGCAGGGTGGTAACAAATTAAGATGAAACAAGACTGTCCACGCACTGATGGCTGTTTAAGCTGGATGATGGGTATTCCCTCTGGGTTTATATGTAAAATATTTCATTTAAAAAAAGAAATAAAGGAGAAAGGGAGATGAGAAGAAGAGGAGGAAGGAAGGGAGGGAGGGGGGAGGCTAGCTACTGTAGAAAAAACAGGGAAAAAATGGTAATAAATACAGAAATGAGAAAATGAGGCAACTATTAGTATCCTATGAAAAGGAACTCTTCCTCCATTAGTAGTAACTCCTTTCATCAGCTGAAATCTACTTTCATGTAGCATTTTTCAATCTGGTTCTGCCTCTTGGGAGCACAAAAACAAAAACAAATATCCCTCTTATATTCAACCTGAGGTTTCCCATCTTCAGGACAAACATTCTCTTTTCCTCTTATGACACATTTTCAAATAATTTCACAATTCTCATTTCTCTCACATAAACTCCCAGAGCAACACCAAATTTCTGGCAAATGCTAACATTCTGTATCAACTATTCTGTACAAATAGTTTTCTATCTTCCAGAACAGAACCTTGCATGTGCCCCTACTATGTTTTCATTTGTATTTAATACAATACAATGTATTTAATAATCCATTCTATAATTTTACTCAGGATAGAAATCAAATTTAACCATGAGTGCTTCAAATATTTAGATGCTGTGTTACAAGATATTTATTGAAAGGATTACCAAATAGTAGTAGGTTGGTTTTATGCTATATAATAAAGTAGCAATTTGCATGTACTGCATGTACACTGTATAGCAAATCAGGATGCTAAAAAAATGATCAATTAAGGTTCACAATATATTTATATACACTTTAGAAAAATTAAAGTGGAGGGAAATCTGGTTATTTATGGTTATTTAAAATGATCATAGAGTGGCACCTGGGTGGCTCATTCAGTTAAGCATCTGACTTTGGCTCAGGTCATGATATCATGGTTTGTGGATTCTAGCCCCATGTCAGGCTCTGTGCTGACAGCTCAGAGCCTGGAGCCTGCTTCAGATTCTGTGTCTCCCTCTCTCTCTGCCTCTCCTCTGCTCGTGCTATCTCTCAAAAATGAATAAATGTAAAAAAAAATTTTTTTTAACAATCACAGAGATTTAGAATTTCTTTTCCTTTATATTTTATATATATGGTGCCAAATCTTTGACTATGTATATAATTTCTAACTAAAACACTGCTCTTATGGGGTGCCTGGGTGGTGGCTCAGTCGGTTGAGCGTCCAACTTCATCTCAGGTCATGATCTCACGGTTTGTGGGTTCGAGCCCCGTGTCGGGCTCTGGGTTGACAGCTCAGAGCCTGAAGCCTGCTTCAGATTGTGTCTCCTTCTCTCTCTCTGTCCCTCCCCTGCTCATGCTTTGTCTCTGTCTCTCAAAAATAAATAAATGTTAAAAAAAAACAAAAAACAAAATTAAAAAAAAAAAAAACAGTTGCATGTTCTAATGACTGAGCCAGCCAGGTTCCCCTAATCATAGTAGTTTTTATTAGATTTATATGTAACTTTGGAAAATTAGATAGATTAATTACATATGTAAAGTCTGCAGACCTACCTGCAGCTTCTAGTAAAGCTTCCAGTCTGGCTTGTGTTTCTGGATCTACTGTCCTGAGGTCTGCACCATCAGCAGTACCTGACAAGAGCAACTTGGAAGCCGTTTCCAGCATTGGATTTTCCAAATCATCCTGATCCAAAATGAAAGACTCCACCTAGAAAACAAACACACACACACACACACGCACACACAAAAAAAAAAGGAAGGAAGGGAGAAATAAAAGGAGAAAGGGAAGTGGTAAGAGAAGTAAATAGAAGAAAAAGAAAGAGAGAAAAAATATATTTTAATGTAAATATCATGATAAATACAATCCTAAATAAATTCAAGCGATAGATAAGCCCACTGTTTAAAGGAGAAATTACATTTGTAGAAGAACTTAAGATTGTGCTACTCATATGCAGGTCTCTCTCTTTTTTTGTTTTTTTTTAACTAAAATTAGTTATTCTTTTCTATTTTAATTTAATGGGGCAAGAGTGAGATACGGGGAGCTATGAGGACTTAGACTGTGAAACCTCTGACTTTAGTAGAGGACCTAAATCAGCTGTTCTTAAATGTTTTGCTCTAAGGACCCCTTTACACATTTATAAAGTACTGCACTCTCAAAAACCCCAGAGAAGGATTAAATATATTAATATTCACCTACAATATCAAAAAAAAATCACATTTGTTAATATCACCACTGGTTTTATCAGAAAAGTTTTTAAGTACTATGAAGCCCAGGCAAATACAATTTAAAATTCCAAGTTGTGCTTAAATGCTTAATCTTATCATTGGCAACAAATACTGCCAAAAGTTTTCCTTAAAGTGACAAGCTCATTTCCATCATTTCTGATGAGAACATATGCCAAATACCCAAATTTGGTAAGTGTACTGTGTCCATCAGTTATATTTTCTAGTAAAAATGGCATTTCGTGAAAATAAGAATGGCTAATTCTCCTCACATCTCAAAAAACAACAACAACAACAACACAGAAGTGCTTTATGTGTACCTCCCATTTTGTCACAAACAATTATATTAAAAGGACATGTATTCAAAGGTGCAAATTTCACAAAATTAATATTTATTGCTTTCCCCAGATTATTTCTAAGGTGAAATTGGCTTTTTTTGTTAACTGTGAGTACACAGAAGAATAAATGACACTAGTACAATTTTATGCCATTGCCTTGACTACAGTCCAGCAGTTTTACCTACCACTGCTTTTGCATAATCAGTGCAAATGTCAATACAGTAAAAGAAGCAAATAACATCTCAGTATTGTTATGAAATAGTTTTGACCTCTTTGATATCCTGAAATGGTCTCTGGGACCCTGAGGGACTATGGACCCACAGTAATATAGTAACATATACCAAATTCAATTTTTTAAAATGTGAAGAATTAGAATATAGCAAACACCTAAGACATGGGCAAGTCTTGTGATCTCCCTTACCATTCTGCTACTTACAAGTAAGTACTGAGCTATATTCTCGTGTTTGCTGATAAAAAGTTGATAATTACTATATAAAATATCAGTAATTTACATATTTATTTCACAAATCTAAAGTACTTCTAACACTAATAACTAAAATAGAAAAGAAATTAATAATCTAGAACACAATTATGCTCATGCCTACTATCTAAATGTAAGAAATATGAAAAAACCGTAAGCAATAAATTTTTAGCCATTATAACATCAGAAACTGATGATCAGAAACTGATCTTTAAAAATCACCTATCTAATAACCAGGAATAACTGCTATATTTAACCAACACATATTTAATACTGAATGTTAATCTGGGAGGAAATAATATGTTTCTCTCCAAATTTCCATTAGATTAACATAGTTTAGCATGATTTCAGATTTCTAATGCTTCAAATACAAAGACACTGAATACTCTGAAAATAATCTCTGTAAATATTTGAAAAATTTCACAAAATTTTGCAGCATATTAACTTTAGTCAATCAATAACAACTGTTAAAATGATAGGGAGTTAGGAAAAAAACAAGATTATATTCTTTTTAGTTGTAAATTATCCTTTAAGGTAGTGGTATAAGCATAAATGTTATATTTTAAGAAGCAGACTTTTGGACACAATTTAGCCATAGCAAGTTGTGATTCAAAATTATAGCATAATAAAAACTACGTCTTCTTATCTTCGATGAAGGCCAGATGAGTCTTTTTAAATTTTTAATTTGTTTATTTTTGAGAGAGAGTGTATGTGGGGGGGGAGGGGGGGGGAGGGGCAGAGAGCCAGTGAGACACAGAATCTGAAGCAGGCTCCAGGCTCTGAGCTGTCAACACAGCTCAATACGCAGCTCAAACTCATGGACCGTGAGATCATGACCTGAACCGAAAGTGGGATGCCCAAGCAACTGAACCACCCAGACACCACCCCCCCAGATAAGTCTTTTTAAAGAAAAAGTTGTTTCCCAGTGAAATTTTCTGTTAAAATATCTACAACTTTCCAATCCAATGGGAGAAGACAAAAGAAAAACAAGGAAATGAACATGGAAAAATGAACATAGGTAAAATAAATGAAAAATTAAATAATATTTCAGACTAGAATTTTAGAAAATAAAGTATCTCAAAGAGCAGTGCATGATTAAGTGCCAAATCGAAAGTATAGATCAGAGGTATTAAAACTGTTCAAAGACATACTGCTTGCAGAAAGATAAATATGAAAAGATTTTGACCAAAATAACAAATTTATCTAAGACAACAGAAAAAGGAATGTGGCACTGGTAGACAAGCTTAAAACTTCTATTTTCTAGAACAGAGTATTTTACTGTAGGGAAGGTCAGAAAGTTAGCTTACAGAAGGTATTAACTTTCAATCAAAAGTGATTTTCTGACATAAAGTCCCCTATGCCACGCTGTTGCCCTAATTGAGCTCGGTGAAAATTTATTAAGAAAAATACATTTCAATCTCTTCATGACGGTATTAAGTACAGAAATATGTTTTCGGAGCATTTGGATGGCTCAGTTAGTTCAGCGACCAACTCTTGATTTTGGCTCAGGTCATGATCCCAGGGTCTTGGGACTGAGCTTGGGTTCTCTCTCCCTCCCTCTACCCCTTTCCCATGCTTGCTCTCTATATTGAGTTAAAAAAAAAAACATTTTTTAAGAGAAATATGTTTTCTTATTGATCACAAACTTCTCCACAAAAGTTGATTTTTAAGTCCACTATTCTTACTTTGTGAAAATCTTGATAAGTTAAAATATAGATTTTTTGGGGGGGTGGTGGGGGAAGATCATACGAGCAGGGGAAAGGGACAGAAGAAGAGAAGAGGTGAAACAGAGAAAGAGAGACAAGAGAATCTCAAGCAGGCTCCATGTTCAACGCAGAGCCCGACACCAGGCCTCAATCCCACACACACACACACACACACAAAATTGTTTGTTTATCTTTTGGGCGCAAGGGAGAGAAAGCAAGCCAGGAAGTGGCAGACAGAGAGAAGGGTAGAGAAATCCCAAGCAGGATCCACACCCTCAGCACAGAGCCCAATGCCAGGCTCAAACTCACAAATGGTGAGATCATAACCTGAGCCAAAACCAAGAGTCAGATGCTCAACCAACTGAGCCACCCAGCTGCCCCTATATGTAAGATTTTTTTTAAAGGCACTGGGGAGAAAGAAAAGAATAGGAATGGAGATAGATATCCCCCCAGTTTGAGATTAATGAAGAAGAAATTAATTCAAAGGACACTGTTAGGATCTAAAGACCTAGGTACCAACACTGGTTCAGATGCTACCTGTGCAACCTAAGCAAGTCTCTCAGCCATCTCTAGATCTTTATTCATAATGCAGTTTTTTCATAAATGTATTACATGTGACTTACTATAATATTTATTGCCTTTCTAAACTCCATGGAAACAGGAACTTTGTTTGGCTCACTGATACATATCCACCAACTGGAACTATGCCCATCTTATTGTCAGGACTCAAATAATTCTTGAGTAAATAAAAGATGGTTTGGGGATTTTTCACCTTCAGATTCCAAAAGGCTGTAGTGTATTTGGAAAGGGGAGACGTAGTTAGAAAAAATAAATTTAAACGTATATCTTACAGATATTGAAAAATCATACATAGGGCAACATTAAGTAACAGGTAGGGCAAAATGCTCATCATTGGCCAACAGTCTTTGTGCAGGAGATACTACTGTTTAGTTAGCAGTAGAGGAGATGCGGAAATGTGCAAAATCAACTCTACTATCTAGGAACTTATTTCTTTAATGAGAGAGCCAAAGTATGCACACAAATGAACACTATTACAGGGTAAAAAGTACAGAAGGGAATGGGAGGAGGAAAAACGCTGTAGGAAGTAGAAGAGAACTTCCTCCCTTAATACCAATTCCTCTTTCCTCAACTGGAAAGATTCTTCTACTACATTACAGAACTGGAGAGAGACTGACATAGGGGATGCAGTCATAAAAATACAAAAATAAATAATCCTTTATTTAAAGGTCAACTGAGTTATGAGCATATCCGGCTCTACCATGTCCTGAGCTAATTCAGATTAAAAACTAAAATGTATTTTCCCATTGACCTTACTCATTTTTATTACATTATTTCCATAGCAAAAAAGTTCATTTTGAACCACAGCCAAGTTCTAGAACATTAAAAATGGCCTGAATAAGAAATTCACATAGGGACACCTGGGTGGCCCAGTTGGTTAAGTATCTGACTCTTGATCTCAGCTCAGGTCATAACCTAATGGTTTGTGGGTTCAAGTCCCATGTTGGCCTCTATGCTGGCAGCATGGAACCTGCTTGGGATTCTGTATTTCCCTCTCTGCTCCTTCCCTTCTTACACACACACTCTCTCTCTCAAATAAATAAACTTAAAAAAATTAAAAGATAAAAGAAATTCACATAAATATTTTGAAACATTTTTTTGTCATAGAATTTTTATTTACTTATTTATTTTTTAATATGAAATTTATTGTCAAATTGGTTTCCATACAACACCCAGTGCTCATCCCAACGGGTGCCCTCCTCAATACCCATCCCCTATCCTCCCTCCCTCCCACCCTTGAAACATTTTTTTAAATGAAATGTAAGATAATTTCCATGAAGAGGGGAGAGATATAAAGGAAAGGTAGGTCCTTATTAAATTTATTCTTTAAAGGAAATGACCTGTCAAAGTTATTAATATTCAAAGTATGACAATTTAAGTT